AAATCAACCCACAAGTATTTTTTAATTGGCTTCTATGTGGCAGGCCCTGCACTAGGCACTGGAAATAAAAATACAACAATAGAAGAGTTTCTGCTCTCAAGGAACATGTATTCTACTGGGGTAGATAACATACATGTTTATAAATATACACAATATAAATACAAGTCAATTTGGGGAGGGAAGGCACTAGAAATTGGGAGGAATCAGGAAATGCCTGACTCAGAAGGTGGCATCTGAGCCAAGCTTTAAAGTAGGGGTTCTATACTATTGTGCTATAAGAAATGATGAGCAGGCAGACTTCAGAAAAACCTAGAGAGACTTGTGTGAACTCATGCTGAGTGAAGTGACCACAGAATACTGTCCACAGTAACAGCCACATTGGGTGATAACTGATTTTGATAGATCTAGCCCTTCTCAGCAATGCAAGGATCTAGGACAACTCCATAAGACTCATGACGGAAAATGCTATCCACAGTCAGAGAAAGAACCATGGGGTTTGAGTGCAGATCGAAGCATACTATTTGCTCTCTCATTTTTTTTTTGTTTCTTCTTTTTCGTGGTTCCTCCCATTCATTCTAATTCTTCTTTACAACACGACAAATGTGAAAATATGTTTAATAAGAGTGTTTATGGGGCAGGTAGGTGGTGCAGTGGATAGAGCACCAGCCCTGAAGTCAGGAGGACCTGAGTTCAAATCCGGCCTCAGATCAAACACTTGACACTTACTAGCTGTGTGACCCTGGGCAACTCACTTAACCCCAACTGCCTAAAAACAACAACAAAAAAAGAAAGTAGGGATTCTAAGGGGTGGAGATGAGGAGGGAGGGTATTTCAGGCATGAAGGACAGCCAGTATAAAGACAGAGAGATAAGAATTGGCATTTTTGGTGAGAGGAACAGCAAAAAGGCAGTTTGGCTGGACCATACAGTTGAGTGAGGTGAAGGAAAATAATGTAATAAAAAGTGGAAAGGTCCATAAGAGTTGTAGAATCAGGACCTTAGGCCTATCTTAACTCTCTTCTAAAATCCTTGACAATGCTGCCAAGACTTATGGTTAGATTACGTATTGCTAACCTGAAAAAAAGCTAAGGGAAAGCTCACTGCTTCTAGGTAGGAAATGAAGGGCTTCAAGCCAACTTCAGCTTGTGTCCTTCCTATACACACTGCCTAACTCATCGTACTGTGCCTCTCACCTTTTGATTCTTTTTCCGAGAGGTTATAAAAGGTCTTTCTTTGCCCGCCTGTCTGAGCGATTCTTGTGATCCAGACCAGACGTGGAGATTGTCATGGGTCTGTTCCATGTTTTTGTTGCTGTTCAGCAGTTTCCGTCATGTCTGACTCTCTGTGATCCCTTTGGGGGTTTTCCTGGCAGAGATAATGGAGTGGTTGCCATTTCCTTATCCAACTCATTTTACACATGAGGAAACTGAGGCAAACAAGGATTAAGTGACTGGCCCAGGGCTACACAGCTAGTGTCTGAGGCCAGATCTGAACCCAGGAAGAGGAGGCTTTCTGATTCTAGGCCCAGTGCTCTATTCCCTGCGCCACCTGGCTTCCAAACAGGCACATGTTAATCTGTAAAAAGAAATATGTTTTCACCATGCAGTAACAGAGGATTGGTAGTCATTTCTTTGAGAGAGTCCTCTTTTAAAGGACTTTAAATGCCAAACACAGGAGTCTGCATTTGACTCTAGAGATAATAGGGAGCCACTGGAGTTTACTGGGTGGGGCCTGGACAGACCAGTACTTCCCAAACATCATTTTGGCAACTGCATAGATAACAGAATAGAAAGCAGAGAGATATGAGGCAGGAAGATGTGTAGGACAACTGAAAGTTTCTCATATGAAACAGAAGCTAGGCCCCGAAATTTAGTTAAGGCTTTAGCATTAGCCGGGCCTAAGTCTCATTTTCCTGTAAATCATGTGATCGGGTCATATACCTGTTGCCCGGTACCCCCTCCCTTGTTTTGTAACCACCACCCCAGCCTTATCTTTGCCATATAAGGCAATCTTCTAGCTTCCAAGCTTGTTTTGGGTAAAATGTATCTCTTAGTTTCTGGGTAGAATGTAAGGTCTCTTACCTAACAGTGGGGATGAAGAGATTCAGGTTAAAAGGTGGGAGGGTGGGGTTTTCTTAGAATGTGTTTGTCTAGGGGTATATAACTGCTTGCTTGCTGCTTGTACCCTGCCTCCCTACTCCAGTCTGCCCTGGGTAGGTGATGCCCAATTCTCATGCGAGACTTGCTAGAATAAAACTTCTGTTTCTACCTAGAGAAACCTCTGAAAGAAAACTGACAGATACAATGGAAATTGTAGAGGCAAAATCAACAAGAATTGGCAACTGATTGGATCTGTGGGGGGAGGGAAACTGAGAAGTCAGTTGCAAACCTGAGTTACTGAAAGGACCACGATACCCTTGAAGAGCTTCCCTACAGCAATCCAATGGCAGAGTCCTTCTATCTGGTGTTAGCAAGTAGCACCTTCAGCACATGGGGTGATATTTAGGGCAAATGGAGAAAGGGCTGGAATAATTTGCCCCTTAGGAAGGTTACACTAGTTACCTAAGCCCATGATGACCCAAATTATGAAATAATTCTAAGATAGTCAATCCTCAACATTCTCCTGTTTAATTTTCATGACTTCAAGTATTCATGTGATTTTATTTGTAAACTCATTTTCATTCTGGTATTGGCAATCACGAATATTCATGGTTTTGCACAGTAGAGGAAAAAAAAAATGAGAGGTGCGTTAGCAGCGCAAGTTTGTCGAGTGGCTGGTCTCCTACTGGGTACTTCACTGGTCTTGTTCAACCGACCATGTAAAGAGCTCCCCATGCATTCACTGCATATTTTCATTGTTTGCCTTTAAAGCTCAAGTTTTGTGCTGCAATTATGCCTCCAAAGCATAGTGCAAGCCCTTTGGGCTCTAAGCCCAAGTGTGCCAAGCCAGTGATGCAGCTTAGTAAGAAAATAAAGTTGTTAAAGAGACTTCGTGCCAGGCTGTGTGCAGTCAAACTGGTGAGCCCTTCACAAGGATCTCCAATGTCATCCATGCCAGTCTTGGCATTTTCCCAGCAGCAGCAGCTAAAGTCCCAGCAACCTCTCCGTTGTTTTTCAGAGTGCAGCCAAGGTAGAGGTTTACAGCAGAATAGTATATAGTACAACACTCTCATACCACAATCTGACACAATGGAGGGTAAGATTCAAGTTTAAAATATTTTAGTTTCAAGAATTTTATTTGCTTTACAATACTTATGATTCTGTAGATTTCAAGTGATATGAGAAGCGAATATTGTCTGAAGTTAATGTGGTTTTTATTGAGATGTTTACAAAAAAGGTCATAGAGTTCTAGGGAATGTTTTGCATGTTACCAATTTTATTTTGTGTAATGCATCTTACGGTATATCTCACAGTAATGTGTTAGGAAAAGTCCATATTATCAGAATCAATGTTTTGTTACAAAAAAGTATATGCAGAAAAGTGTATTTTCAGCAATCTCTAGCAAAAGATTACAGTTTTTGGTGGTCACGGGAGCTAACTCCTATTTCCCACAGATTCAATGTTATCAACATTTGCATTTTTTACTTTCACGCTGTTTTCGAGGAATGTTATCCCTGCAAAAGTTGAGACTATTATTGCTTTGATACTCCAATGTTTCACCGTATTCCAGAGCTGACCCCGGGCTCTCAAAGGCTATCTCAGTAAAGCGTAAGCTCTGATGAGTTTTACCTAGCTAGAAAGGCTTCAACTGACTATCACCCCAAAACCTAGTTCAGTTGGTGGAGGCTCGTGGCCAGAAAGCTGTACGTCAAGTGATGGTTCTTTTCATTTACCAAAACATCCTATGAAAATGGTTTTCATAGGTTCCCAAACTGGCAGGTGCTGGAACAATCCAGGCCAGTAACAGTGACAGTAGTAGCACTAACAGTAGTAGCCTTGGGTGCAATTGGGAGGCATTGAATAAAAATTAGGGGTGGTAAAAGTATAAGGAAAGAAGAGAAGAGAAGAAAAATTCGAAAAACCATTCGTACATATTTCATCTGTTATGCAGTGATTACATTATTTTCCATAAACACACAAAATGCAAGCTATAAACAATCAGCATTGAAGTCTGCCAACAGGTCTTAATAAGCAAGTATTGGCAGGCGAGCATGTTGCTCATTGTCAGAAGTTCAGCATGCACTGGCAGGAATATGTGCATGTTATGACTTGTTTACAATCTGATACTATACAGTTATACAACAAAATATTACGTCATCAAAATTTCAAAGCAGGAAAAAACCACAACTTTACAATAAATTATTAAATTTAAAAAGCATCATTTAAAAAATATTTTATGTCTTTTTGAAATGATTCAAATTTAAAAAAACAAACAAACATTAAAGGCTAAAGAAAGTCGATTTCCAGGGGGATGCTGAGTAATTTTTTTTGAGAAGGGGGCAGTAGATCAAGCGAGTTTGGGAACCTCCAATCTAGAGACACTATTGTATTTATCTGTACAAGGTGAGGAAAAATAGATCATTTCACAAACAACTTGGAAAGACTTAAGAATTCTGACCAAAATAATGACCAACCATGATTCCAGAGGAGCCATGAGGAAGCAACCCTCCTGACAAGGAAGTAATGGACCCACGACACAGAAAGAGATATACATTTTTCTGCCAGCCAGTGTGAGGATTTGTTTTGCTTAACTATGTACTTTTGTTACACAAGTTTTTTCTTTTTGCTTTTTTTCAGGGGTCACGGGAAAGGAAGGAAAGAGGGAGAAAAGGAAAGAAAATAAGTGCTTGTTAATTGAAAAATAAAATAATTGTTTTTAAAAAATAGATTTTGGGGGTACTGAAATATTACAATATAACAGGTCACATCTTAATTAACTTATGTTACATTATATGTCCTTACTGTTAGCAGTACCTTCTCAAAGATTCCTTAAAACTTTACAAGAAGCCTTTTATTACATGACTTTCTTTATACTACATATAACTATATATATAGGACATACCTGCTTTTTCAGCTTTTCTTCCTTTACTGCCTCAGTACACACATGATCAATGATGCTGAATGAAATGTTTGTTGAATTCAGTCTTTTTGGCTGGTTTTGGTTCCCCTTCAGTCCACTTGAAAAGAGAAAAAAAAAACTATTGAAACCAATCCAATCCATATAGTTGACCATCAATTGTGGAGGTAAAAGAATAAAACCCAGGTGGGTTTTTAGCTTGGGTTCTTTTGCTGTTGCTTAGTATTTAGTGTTAAGAACATCTTGTAAACAGAGATGCTAAATATGCCGAGTTTAAGACGTACTCAAAGCAGTGGAAAAGGCATTTAGGATTTCAGGGAGATTAGCTTTGCTGTTACAGTTAGTTTTCCAAAACTTTGTGAGTACTAGGTTGTGCTAGTTCAAAACACATTTGTACTCATCTACTTGGGCTCTCCTTGAGAAGCCCAAAGTTTTTTCTACATTCAAATGCTCACCATTTCTGAGAAAGGGATTGTAATTCAGCATTATTATCCATTTCATAGAACAGGGAATTCAGAGTGATTACTGAACTCAAATCAATTCAATAAACACATGTTATGCATCTTCTATTCGCAAAGGACTTCATTAGGTGCTGGAGATATAAAGGAGAAATTAAATATATATAATTATCAATAATGAAAGATTAATGTATTAAATGCAAGAAAGATTTTTAAAGGGCATGAAGGTAGAATAGAAGGGATAATAATGGTATAATATTCCTCTAGAATTATGACAGAATTCAAGGCAATGCTAGAATCATAGGATTTCAGAGATGCACAAGATTTCAGAGATCTTGAAGGAAATATGGTCCAACCATACTTGAATAGAAATCTCCTCTAAAATATCCCTAGGGAGTGATCATTCGGCCCACACTTAAAGATCTCCAGTGAATGGAAATTCACTATTTCCCACGGCAGCCAATTTCACTTTGGAAGATATAATTTTCAGAGCTTTTTCCTTATATTGAGCTGAAACTTGCCTCTCTGCAGTTTCTATCCATTGTACCTGGTTCTGGCCCAAGGCCAAGCCAAAGTCTAATCTGTTTTCCATGTGATAACCTTTCAATATATATATATAATTTTTTTGTTTACTAGATCATCATCTATCTTCTCTCTGCTAAGCACAGGAATTACCTAAGGATCTGCACTGGGCCTTCTCTTCCCTCTCTACACTGTCTCCCCTGGTAATCTCCTTTGCTCCCATGAGTTCAATTGTCAAGCCTATGCTGGTGGTTCCCAAATCTATACACTCAGTTCTAATTTCTAGTCTTAACTTAAGTCCCACATCACCAAATTCCCACTGGACTTCTTCGCCACAATGTCCCTTTGGCATCTCAACTGCAGCATGCCCAAAATGGAACTGAAAACATCGCTCTCTACAAACCTAGCCTTTTTACAAATCTATTTCTGTGGAGGGCACCACCATCCTGTTATTCCCCTAAGTTTATAAATTCAGGGTCATCCTTGATATTTCCCTCTCCTTTGCCTTCTATATCCAGTGGCAATGGAGGAAAAGGCAGTTTTTCATAGGAGATAAAGAGCCAGGAAGGCTTGGGATCAATTCTGACACGGATTGGCTGTGAGACCCTGGGTAACCACTTAGCTTCTTAGCTCTCTCTAGGCAACTAAGACTTTAAGTGGTCAACCTACCTTAGCAAAGGAGTTTCCTTATGCAAAATTCCACATACCAATGAAATCACAGATCCAGTTCCTCTCCCTAATTAATTAGTTACCAAGTCTTATCAATTCTCTCTACAACATATGTCCTCTTCACTCACATGATCACCACTCTAGTTCAAGCCATCATTAATTTTCTACGGGACCATTGTAATAGCTTTATTAACTAGTCGCTCTGATTCTAGTCTTTTCCCTCTCTAATCTATCCACCACACAGCTGACAAAATAGTCTTCCTAAGGCACCCGAAAGGCCATGAATGAAAGAATGATTGAATTACTGAATTACAAGTTCTTACTATGTGCACTGTGCTGAGCACTCAGGAATCAAAAAAGGGAGACAATCCTTGTCCTTAAGGAGCTTACATCCTATAAGTATAGGAGGAATATAACACATACAAGAAAGTGGTGGTTAGGGAAGGATATTTTGGTCTGTGAGATCACAGAGAGGGTGATTAGAGCAGTAAGGCAATCAACTGACACATCCTTTCCAGAAGCAATGGTAGTGCTGATTCGATGACTATTCCCAAAGCAACAGGTGGAGAACTGGTAGGAGCAAGGGTGGTAAAGACACTCAGCATGGCAGGAACATGGCCAGGGTAAAGCCTGGTCAGGGGTCTAGAGCCTACTAGATGTAATTAGGACAACATAGCCCCAGGACAGGAGTTTCCCAGCTGAGTGACTTAGCTCCTCAGGGCTCTCTGAAAGCCCTCTTCAGAGGGTGCAGAACTAGCAGGGCAGCATGGCAGGAAGACACCTGGGGTGATGCACGATTGGGGGGGGGTGAAAGCAGCTAGATATAGTGGATTCTCATCAGTCAGGACAGCACGGCCCCAGTCAGCAAACATTTGCTCTCCTTGCCAAACAGATGTGGCAGCCGAGGGCAATGGATAATAGATTAGAATATAAACTCATTTGCAACATTCCTGAAGAATACTGTGGAAGAGTAGAATTGTCTAATGAAATATCCAGAAGTATGGAAAGAAACACGAGTTTTCAGAAAGCTTGCTGTAACACTTAAATAAGCCAGATCATCCCCAAAGCATTTAAAGATGAAACTGAAAGAATCTGTTAAGATTTCTATTAAAAAAACAAAAACAAAAACAAAACCCTTTTTTCCATGGATCACCACAGGACTACACCATCAGTGTAGAAAACAAAAGAAAGAAACAAAACAAAAATAAGGTGAAGCTGGACCAGTTCAAGTATATGCAGATGAGGTCATGCTAATGGTGACAGAATTTTGCCACTACTGAGGGATCATTTTTCAACTTATTTGAAGGAAGCAAAGTAAAACATGAGAAAAAATTGAGGAAACCATTCTTAAAAAGGGAGGGGAGGATTGAGAGGACAATAAATACTGAAGTCCCTACTTTTTCACTTCTCTGGGGCAGCCATGGCTTGGCAAACAAGGGTTCTCACCATGCACTTAGGAAACCTAATTTGAAACCAGTCTCAAGCAGCTGCTAGCTTTGTGAACATGGGAAAGTTGATTATCTATTCTTGCTCATTCATGTGTAAAATGGGATAATATGTAAGAAAAGTCACTAAGGTATTCATATTCCTTCAGATTTTTCCAGAGACTATAATCAAAGACATACTGTTAACAAGAAAAGACCCACATATAAAAAAAATCAGTATTCCTTAAAGATAAATTTTATTGATGCCTTTTAACATTACAATTTTCAGATATGCCCACCTCCCTCTAGCTATTCCTCCTTTATAATAAAAAGTTAAGGGACAGCTAGTGGCGCAGTGGATAGAGCACCAGCCCTGGATTCAGGAGGACCTTGAGTTCAAATCCCACCTCAGACACATTAACATTTACTAGCTGTGTGACCCTGGGCAACTCAATCCCATTGCCTAGACAAAAAAAAAAAAGTTAAAACCAAGCAATACAGGGACCATATCTGACTGTATATAAAATTTTTTGTCTATAAAATCCCTACTATAAGGAGAAAGGTGATTTCTCATCTCTTTTTCGGGCAGATTAATCATTACAATTACTCAATCTGATTTCATTGGCTGTTTTTTCATTCCCCAATCCATGGAGACCTACTTTGTTTTCTTCAAAACTGTTTAAGTGTCACTTTCCATATAAGGCTTTTCTTAATCCTACAGATGCTAGCATTCTTTCCCCCACTCCAAAAAAATTTAACTTATATTTTGTTACATTCAGGCTGTCTCTACTGAGAATGAATGAAAACTTTTCAAGGGAAGAGATCTTTCATTTTTGTTTCTGTATCCTCAGTACCTAGCACAATCCCTGGCATGTAACAGGTACTTCATAAATGCTTGTTAATTCACGGGTAGACTACGGGAGAAAATCCTCTTAGGGAAGATTCATCTCCCTGATGAGTCTTCTCTTTCCCAGGCTAAACTAACCCCATCTTCCTTCAACTGACATGTCATTGTCTCCAGCCCCCTACTTTGGCTGCCTTCCTTTGGACAAGTTCTAGCTCGTCAGTGTCCTATATAAAATGTGGCACCAATAACTAAGCACAATGCTCCAGAGGTGTTCTGACCAAGGGAGAATATAAAGGAAGGTGACTTCCATCTTTCTGAACAGGCTTCCTCTCAGATATTATCTGACCAATCCTAAAAGACTGACACCATGTCAAGGGCCTGGAGACGATACCTGTGGAGTCAGAAAACATGGGTCTGAATCGCAGCTAGACACTTCCTACCTTTATAACCTAGAATGTCCTGTCACTTCACTGGACCCCCCTCTGTAAAATGATGAACCCCAGGCTCCTTCTGAGTTCTGGGGCTGTGATCCTATGTTACTAAGATTGTCTGGCTTGGATGATCAGACTGAGCAAGTCTTAGGACCATGTTCCTAACTCCTTCAAGACTTGGTCTAGGCTACCTCCATCAGTCAGCCTTTCCCAACTCCCCAAGTTATTAGTGTACTCTCCCTAATCAAACTGTTGTGCACTCAACAGTCAGCTTCTGTGTTTTATTTTGTCTGTGTATTCCCAAAGTCTAGCAGTCCTGTGCACAGAGTAGGCACTGAAGATTGCTGACTTGAATTAACTGAATATGGCATAGTGAAAAGAATCTTGGATTTGTAGAATATCTAAGCACAAATTTTGGCTTTGCCGTTTACAAATTGTATGAACCTGGGCAAGACAATTCCTCTCCCTGGGCCTGTTCTCTCAACTGTAAAATCAATCAAGAAGAATTCTAGTGTTTACTGTGTCAAGAACTGGGGGCTACAAACTAAGGCAAAAAAAAATCTCTACATTCGAGCAGCTTATATTTGAATGGTGGGGGAGGAACAACATCCATATGAAACATACAAGCCATAGAGCAGGTGAAGGATAATCTTAGATGGGCTGGGGGGAGATGGTGAAAGGCCTCTCAGGGATTCTAAAGAGATGTGGCTTGGAGACAGAGCATTCAAGGCACGAAGGATAGTGGATCACATATAAAATCCTGTTTTTCTTTTAAAGTTCTTAATCTGGCCCCTTTCTACCTGGTCTTCTTACACCTTACTCCTCTCTACAAACGGGATCCACCTGACACTCCACTTCCCAAGCATTTTTACTCACTGCAGCCCTCCCAAAGTCTGGAATTTGCCCCCTCATCTTCAACTCTTGGCTTCTCTGACTTCCTTCAGTTTCCTGTTAAAATCTCACCTGCTTACTAGAAACTTTCCCCTATTCTCTTTAATACTAGTGCCTTCACTCTGTTGACATTCTCCAATTTATTCTGTATATCGTTGTAGTTATTTTTATGTTGTCTCCCCCATTAGGCTAACAGCTCCTTCATAAGAGGAACTACTTCTTGCCTTTCTTCGTATCCTCATTGCTTAGCACAAGTGCCTGGCACATGGCATGGCTTAAGAAATGCCTGCTGACTTCTCTATCAAGAGTAATTATACAGCATGTGGATGCGAGAAATCTGGAAGGGTAGGAGGGGTCAGACTATTCAGAGTTTAAAATGCCAGAGTTTATATAGAATGTTCCAAAAGTCTTGGTGCAGTTTTAAGTTATCAAAGCTTAAGCTTTAAGATTAAGGTGATCTGCTCCTGCAACTAACAGAGAGCCACCGTAGTTTACTTAAGGGTTAAGTGGGATGAGTTGGGCCTAACCCAGCCTCAGTCGCTTACTAGCCTGGGGACCCTAAGCAAGTCACTCACCCTCTGTTTGTCTCAATTTCTTCCTCTATAAAACGGGGTAAATAACAGCACCTACCTCCCAGGGTTGTTGTGAGAATTAAATAATTTTGATTTATGGTTTAACAAATTAAATTTCAACAAAATCAAGCCAAATAATATTTCAACAATATATCATTCGACATAAACATATTGCAATGCAATCCTATGTATTTGAAAACATAAAGAAGGGCAGACTGGCCTAAACACTCTTCCAGCTCCAAGGAACGATTTTCCTTCTAATCACAGCACGAATGAAGAGTAGAATGCGATTTACAGCAGCTGGACGGGTGCTCAGAGACCCGACCTCCCTTTTATTTATTTATTTATTTTTTTAGGATTAGGAAATTGAGGCTGAGGCGGTCCAACAGAAGCGGGGGAGGCGGGACTTGGTCACGTGAGGGAGGGGCCTTCCCAGACACGCGTCCCAGACCGCTTCCCGGCACTCCTCGCGGTGACTTAAGTAGCAAACCCAGGCCCCAGAGGAGGGCCAACCACGACGCCCCGGGGGCTCGATACCTACAGCCACCCCCCCTCCTCCCAGGAGGCCGCTTCTGGGGCACTGCCCCGTCCGCAGAGGCAGCGTCCAGTCAGGAAGAGCCGTTTCCCGGATTAGGGCACGGGAAAATACTCAAGTGCAAAGAAATGGCCAGGTCACTTTAGGGGGAAAAGTTTTAAAAAATCTCCGCCAGGTGTCTGAGGGTAGCGTGAGAACGCGTCCCTCACACTAAGCTTCTAACGGACCAAGGCGACTGTCGGCCACATTCGGCGCAGGGGCGGACCACCACCTGCGCTTGCGCACTGAGTAGCCTGGGCACGAGCCTCGGCTCCACCCCGCCCCGCATCCAATCACCACCCACCTGCTTCCATCCAATCCGAGAGGCCCGGGAGGTGGAGAGCGGGGGAGGAGAGCAGTGACAAGGGAGCCGGGGTGAGGGGTGAAAGTTCGCGTTCCCGGCTGGCGGCCATTTCTCTGCCTTCCGTACGATTGCCGGCTAGAGGGAGGCGGAGGCAGTGGCGGCGGCGGCGGCTCGCTTCACGTGGGCGCGGGAGAATCGGCGGCGGCGGGCGGCCCGTGGCGCTCTTCGGTGGTCACGATGGTAAGGATGCGGCGGCGGCGGCGGCCGCCGCCGTGGTTGCGGCGTGAAGAGCGTCCCCACAGGCTCTCGCTTCCCGCCTTGCCCATTCATTTGCTCTGGGGGGCGGGAGCGGCCTCCCTCGGCCCTTTCTTCCTTGCTCCCCCCTCCCCACCCCCGGTCTCGCGAGAGGAGCGGCTCGCCAGTCTGTTATCGAGCCCCGTTTTCCCCGCCCACGCTCCCCCCGGATTCCAGTTGGTCTCGCCCAAGTGCTCGGCTTGAGAGCCTTCTGGAAGCGGCCATTTGAAAGGACTGGGGGGCGAGGGCGGGGCCAGAAGGGAGCTCATGTGGGCTCGTAGAACTTAACCCGCGTAGAGCGACCTCGGAGCTGCATGGCAGGAGGAGGGGACCGGCCTCGTGGGGGCCCTCAGCGGCCGTCTGGGCCGACCCCTTCACTTTACAGTCCGGGAAACTGAGGCCCTGGGAAACCCTGGGCAGATTCTAGAGCTTGAACGAGCCTCACTGACCAGATGGGCCAGCCCCTTTACAGACCGGGAAACTGAGTCTCAAGAGAGACAGCGCTAGGCAGAGAATTGGCGCTAAAAGGGTCCTCAGACACTGTGTGATTCAGCTCGTGGGTTTCAGCGCTCTGTGATATTGTTTTACTGCTATTATTTGTAATAATAATAATAATCTAAGATCAGGTAATCCTCATATCACTCTAGACAGCTCCTGGCTGTCCACTTCCACTTTGTGCTCTCTTTAAACTCTTAGAGTTATTATTGTAGTCTTATTATATATTATTATTGTCTTTGAGCTTCAGTTTCCTCAAATGCAAAAAAATCCCACCATTTTCCTCTTAGTTTGGCCGTTTTCTTAATTATAGGCCTTAAAAAAAAAAAGTAAACATATCTATTCTAGTTTTCCTTCCCTGTTGGCCTTCTACAGTGCCTTGTGGTGTGGAGGTGACTGACTGTAGGTTGTCACAATGTAGGGAACATAGCTTTGGTCTTAGAGAATAGGGTTCAGGTCCCTGCTGGGCCCCTGTATCAGCTGTGGGAACTAGGGCAGGTCAGTCAATAAACATTTATTGAGTACTTGCTTGGGGCCAGGCACTGAGGATGCAAAAAGGCCAAAGACAGTCCTTGCCCTCAAGCAGCATACGGTCTCTGAGCTTTGGTTTCTTCCTCTGTAAAAATGATGGGGTGGTCTTTATTCTTTCTGAAACTTCTGTCATTCTGGGGGCTTGGTAGAGGAGGAATCTGGAGCTGTTGATTAAACTAATGTTAATTTATCCATCTCACCCAATTCTGTTTCATCAAATCAAAAATTAAAGGGGTTTAATGTAGCAGGACTTGGTATAGTTTGGGCACTGGGAAACTGGATGTAATATAGGGTAATTTATGAACAAATCAGGAGTGGACTTCTGGGCTTATCTGTCAAAAAAGAAAGTTGGACTAAATAAACCCTAATGTTCTTCCATTACTTGAGATCCTATGAAAGCTAGCTTAATGACTTTTTCTCTTTCCTGACTGATGTATTACTTTCATTATCTCATTCAAACTATTGTCTTTTGTACAGAGTTTACCCCTCAACCCCAAACCGTTCCTGAATGGACTGACAGGGAAGCCAGTGATGGTGAAGCTTAAGTGGGGAATGGAGTACAAAGGTTACCTGGTCTCTGTAGATGGCTACATGAACATGCAAGTAAGCTAAACCCCAGCTGGTGGCAAGCCACACAGACTCACTTCACTTGCTGTCTGAGAGTTGGGGCCTAGTCCACAATTGCTGTGGAATGTAGTCATCATTTTAATGAATGAAGCCTTAGGTCCTCTCATTGGAAGCTTCGGGCTATAATGTCTTAATTTACTTGAGGTAAGAGGGCAGCTAGGTGGCACAGTAGAGTGGAGCCTGGAGTCAGGAAGATCCAAGTTCAAGTCGGGCCTCAGACACTTAGTATTGTGTGACCCTGGGCAAGTCATTTAACCCTGTTTGCCTCAGTTGTAAAATGAGCTGGAGAAGGAAGTGGCAAACTGTCTTTGCTACAAATACCCCCAAATGGGATCATGAAGAGTTGGGCACAACTGAAAGGACTGAAACCACAACAAAAGAGGAGCCAGCTTGGGTGTAACATTTGCTGGGCATATTGGTAGCAAGCGGTAATCCACTTACTCACCCCAGTGCCCTCCCACTGCCCTTTGGATTACTTAATACTTCAGGTTTTCTGTTACCTAAATGTCCCTTGATTCACAGGTTTTCACAAGCAACTCTTAAAGGGTTAAAAAGCTTAAGAGGAAAATGAAAGATTTTTGTTAGGAAAATGAATTCAGAATTTGAATTATTGTGAATGTAACCAAGTGCTTCATGTGTTTTTTTCAGTTTAAATAAATGTGTTGATGCAATATTGAAGAATGTAAGTGGAGATGGACTTGTAGCTATTTCTTCAGAGTATTATCTTAGTAAAGCACAATTGAAATTAGCTCTTGAAAAAAGAGAGTATGTTTTTCTTAAATGAGTTAGAGGCATGTGATAAATTTTCTTTGAGGAAAAATTTATTTTCTGCATGAAAAAAAAATTTTTCTGAGAAAAGCCCCATCCATAGGCTTCATCAGACTGCCAAAGGAGCCCATCCCACCCCCTACCCCCCAAAAAAGTGTTAACCCCTACTGTACATAGTTATCCCCTGGTCTCCACCTTTCAGAAGACGAGCCTTTCTGAATTAGGTGAGGCCGTGCTCCAGCTGCTGTCACATCCCCAGTAGGGATCTGCCTGATAATTTTGTGGAGCCATTTCATGAGGCGTCAGAGTAGGATTTTACTAGTGGGTTTGGAAATTAAAAACAAAAGGTAGGCTCTTTCCCTCACCTCTATCACAAACCAGTACAGATTATATAAAAGATAGCTCTGGGAAGCAGCAAGGGTGGTCACTACCAATAACCTAAATTTCCCACCTCCATCACTTCTACCGTGAAGAACATATGAGTACGACCAAGTGCCCCAGGATGCCGATGGCAAGCTTTTCTCCAGTGTAGTAATCTTTGCTCTAGCTAGATAATGCCAGAAAAAAAGAATGTTGTTTTTCACAAATAACTCTTGCATCTGGCAGGCCGGACAGTTTTTAGGCTAGTTTTGCCTCCATTTATAAAATACTGATAATTTAGAAAACTGACTGGTATTCTGAGATGAAAATAACTGATTATACTTCCAAAGTAAGTTATGAAGAGCAGACTTGTAAATATCCAATATGTAATCAAATACTGCTTCCATTGCTCAAACAACCACATTCCCCACTCCTTGCTCCAGATGACAGCCAGGTTGCCTTCCATGGATGGCACTACCCAGTGCCTGGTGGGAGAAATCCACCAATCCTGGCTTTTCCTGCTTTTTGACTTTGTGTAGTTCAGTTCTATTTCAGACAATCTTTTTTCACCTTGAATTCAGTGAGCATTTATTGAGTGTTTACTTTGTGTCTAGACATTGTACTAGGATGGGAGTGGGGAACCTGTAGCCTGGCCTAGAGGTCACAGGTTCCCCACCCCTGTGCAGGGTCTGTGAATACTAGGACCAAAAAAACCAGGCCTTTATCCTCAAGGAGTTTGCGTTCTACAGATCCTTATTGTCTTTAACAACTTTTCTCTTTTCCTTTCTCTCTTTGAGCTTTTTCCCATTTGACAGAACATTTTTCTTTTTCCATTTGCTCTTTGTTCCATTCCTGAGCCAAAGAATAATAATAGGAATCATGGCCAGTGAGCAAGAGAGTAATAGGAATGATACATTTGAATTCAGGAAAAGGAAAACTAAGCATTTTTTTTACATGAAATTAGATCTCTTAAGAGCCAGGGTCATCAGCTTCTAAGGCACTTGAAATACCCTGTCTTCAAGTCCTTCTTAGTATCTTCAAAAAAATCTCGATCTAACTGCTTTGTCTCTATGGAATTATAAACTATTAGCTTTATAACAAATGGTTTACTAATAAACTTTTGGATCACAACCTATTATGAGTTGATAGTTTTCTATGCTTGAATTTTCAAGTCTGCCAGAAAGGGAAATTATGTAAAATTCCTCTATGGAAATTTTAAAAAGTATAAAAAGCAAACATTTTGAAGCAAACTTTTATTGTGTAACAGTTTTACATATCAGTCAGTTGTTGTCTGAACAGATGTAATAATATAACTTAGAATAGTTTTTAATGTTAAACTGTTTGTTGTTAATCATTTGTGGATAAATAGATTTGTATTTCTATAGAATGGCCTCAGTTAACTCTCCAGATTTAGTTGGTTTATACATTTTTCCCCTCATTCAGCTTTGCTGATTTATTTTCTTTTTGTTTAAAAGCTTGCAAATACAGAAGAATACATAGATGGGCATTGTCTGGACACCTTGGTGAAGTTTTAATAAGGTAATTCTCTCAGAGCAGCAGTGTGTATAGATTACCACAAACACAGAAATGTCTCTTGATACAAACTGACTGATGCTTCATTTTCCAAATCCCCCCCCCTTTTTTTGGCTTTTAACATCACTAACTATTTAACAGTGTTCTACAAATAGGAATCCTTACAATTGTTAGATTAATGGTCAAAGAAAGGATTTAAATATTTTAAAATAATGTTCGTTTTCAAGATGTTCTTTTTGTTGAAATTGAACAGTCTGGGTCTTAGCTGGATACCTGTTTTTTGACATTCATAAATTACAGGAGCTTTGGTTAGTTGTACCAGATAATTTGTTTTCAATGGGTATGGCTTATGTTTTCTCCAGATGCCATTCCCCTACTTTTCTTGTGAATATTTCGCAAGTATGTCTGCCTTCTTAACAACATAGGAAAGTTGCTATATTAATTATACGATGAAAATGAGTGCTACATTCTCTATAGCCTGAAAACAGTTTAGAAATAGTATACAAAGGTACATACTTAACATTCTGAATTGTATACCTAAAAATACAGTACAAAACTAATTTACAGCCACCACAGTAAATGCTGTGACTTTTTCCTACTTGGAGCCACAAAATTAATTATAATTCTGTTTACAGGTGCAATAATGTCCTTTACATCAGAGGTGTTGAAGAAGAGGAAGAAGATGGGGAAATGCGAGAATAACGTCTTTTCTGGGGTGGGATGGGGTAGGGATTTCTTTTGTATATTTCTAGAAATAAAGATTTGTTTGTTTTTCAGTTTGTATTTGTCTTTAGGTCTGTAACTTGTTCTCCATGAACTTTGGTGAGTTGAAGGTATTTTCATTTGTTCAAATTCAGAACAAAAATTCAAAACTTAGGAAATAGGTAGTTTGTAGAGCTATAATAGCAAAAGACAAACTGCCTTCTCTTCAAGATGTATCTATATATTTTCTATGTTCCAAGGGTTAAAAAGATTGACATCCCCTTTGGGGGAATTTTCCTGAAGGTAAAATAGTATTTGTGATTTCAGGAAGGGACGATATAATTCTGCAGCTGCTTCTCTGCTAATTCTGACTTTGGAAGTGTTTCTTTTGATTTCATATTTAGAAGTGTCCATTTCTCAACATTTTTGCTTATAAAATTGCTTGTGTAATCAACATACTAAAATGTATGCATATATTTTAATAGCTCATGGCCAGAATGAGTGTAAGGTCAGGATATATTCAGAAAACAATGCTTCTGTTTAGACTTCTGTTCTATAGGCCTTTGGTTTACTTAGCTGAGAGAATTAAATGCATCCTGGGGTTCATTCCTTCAAAACCAAGCACTTTTGTCCACTTTATATTTGTGGTTAGAATCAGGATAGAAGACCTCAGTGAAGCAAACCACTAGCCTTTTAGAATTACTTTTTCTGGTGGTTGGTTTTTTTTTTTTTAATCCCCATCTTCTGATAAAAATGTTATAAAAATAAGTAAAAGGTTCTAGAAGGATTGGGTTTACTGGAATTTGGAGATACAAACCTGAATGACATTCATTCTTTAAAACAAAAATTGTTACTCTTGGGAAAAAAATGCAAACTTAAAACCTAACAAAAAATAAATAATTTTCAGGCTTTTACCTGAAAATTAAGGTATGTGTCTGACTGATTTTGTTCAACTGAAAAAATAGTGATCTTCCAGTACTTTTGACTTGGTGTCATCCACAAAATGTATTTTTTGTTTGACGTTCGTTATAGGTTGTGAACGATATACAAGTTTCCTTCCCATCTGTAGCAAAGGAAAAAAAAGTTAATGTTTCTGTCCATAATTCTCTTCTGTTTAATAATATAAAATTACTTTAGTAACACCTGCCATTCCAAAAACAGACTTAAAATATTGATTACTAGAATTATAAAGTATATTTAGCTATTTGACCATAACTATATAAGGTTACAAGTGTTTTTTTTAAAACATTAGTTTTTTCATTTTGAATTTCAAATTTCCTCCCAAAAATATGAAGTGATTCTACAGTTTGCTGGTCATTCTTGGGGCAGCTAGGTGGCGCAGTGGATAGAGCATGGGCCCTGAAGTCAGGAGGACCTGAGTTCAAATTTGAAATCTGGCCTCAGACTAAACACTTGACACTTACTAGCTGTATGACCCTGAGCAAGTCACTTAACCCCAATTGCCTAAAAAAAAAATAAAAAGGTCATTCTTGTGCAGGGGCCATACTCCTCTCTATCATTTCAATTTTCGCATGTGCTGCCACAGTGAGCGCAATTATGTGAGTATTGTATCTGTTTTGCAGATAACTCTCTAAACTTCAGTTGCCCTCAATATTTGCTGAAGGTCACAAAGCCAGTAAATAGTAAAGCTAGGACATTTTAAAGATATTTTTCTCCTGGTTGGTAAAAAAAAAAGTAATGAGTATTGATAAAACACTAACCTTTCTCTTTGGTTCTGACATTGCTCTTTCTAAGGCAATTCTTATTTTTTCTTCCTGGGATTTCTGCTTTTCTCTCAATTTCTCTTCACGCATTCTGTTATAAGAGGGGGGGAGAAAGTTCTGATAACTATAAATTGCTGTAAGAACAGTGGGGGTGCCAAGGATAAATACTGTTTTTGTTACATAGATGTTGCTTTTCATCATTTGGAAAAGCATTAGATTTACCTTTGACCCAGGTTATAAAAATATTCTCAGAGAATGAGAGAGGGAAACTAGAAACTCATGTATTTCTAGGGGTGTGGCTAAGCAAATTGTGGCATGTGTCTGATGAAACCTTGAACCATAAGAAATGACGAAGATAATACTCCTCTTCCCCCACCCCCCAAAAAAAAAGGAAAACCTGAAAAGTGAAAAAATAACTAGAACATAAAATACTGGCTATAACTGGCTACTAAGGGCAACAATTTCCCCAAATCGACAAGCATTTTATTAATAAGTGCCTACTGAAATACTGAGAATATGATGGATAGCAACACCCTGGCCCCAGGGAGCTTGCTTTCAAGATTATGGCTTACCTGATTATAACATTCACATATGTAACATACATACATGTACATTTTTATTTATTTATTTTTGGCAGCTAGATAAAGATTTTTTGAAACAAAGGAAAAATTTCGGGAGTTCAGTCTTTTTTCAGTTGCATCCAACTCTTTGTGACCTCTTTTTGGGATTTCCTTGGCAAAGGTACTGGAGTGGTTTGCCATTTCCTTCTCCACATTGTCTTACAGATGAAGAAACTGAGGCAAACGGGATTAAGCACCTTACCCCGGGTGACACGGTGTCTGAGGCTAGGTTTGAACTTGGGTCTTCCTGACTCCACGTTTAACACTATTTACGGTGCCACCTAGTTGCCCCCTTCAAAAGGAGCCATGGTTACAGCACATTTTTGTCATCTTGTTAATAGGTGTTTTTTTGTGTGTGTTTTTTTTAATCCAACTTGGGGGGAAATGCCAGTTTCTGGTTACTTTTTACCATGTTTGCCTGGCTTTGTCAGGTTTGCTGGGATTGATGCTAATGAGGCTCCTGTGATATCAGGAGACTCTCTAAGTGATAGGGAGGCTAAGTCATCTGCTGTCTAATAGGGTGTGGGTACAGGCAGAGTGTATTAAGCAATTGCTGTGAGAAATAGGACAGCAAAGAACAGCAGAGAGATTATAAAGCAGATAAATGACAAGACCTGCAGGATGCTAATGGCCAACATTCTATGAACCAATGTGGTTCGTAGGTGGATGCGTTCAGACAGGAGATGGAAAATTAACATTGAGGCTGTCAGTGAATTTAAATGGACAGGAATGGGTGAATTTAATTCTGTGATCACTACATATACTATTGTGGACAAGAAACCCTAGGAAGAAATGGATCAGCCCTCATCATTAATAAAAGAGTGAGAAAAGTAGTACTGGGGTATAACCTCAAAAATGACTGAATAATATCAGTTCAAACCCAAGGCAAACTGTTCAACATCACAGTGATACAAGCCTATGCACCAAGAATGTTGCCGAAGAGGTCAAAGTTGATTAGTTCTATGAAGACTTACAAATGAGGAAATAACACCCAAAAAAAAAGGATGTCACAAAGGGGATTGGAATGCTAAAGTAGGAAATTAAAAGATATTTGGAGTACAAAATGAAGCAGGGCAGAGATTAATGGAGTTTTGTCAAGATAATAGCAAACACTTTTTCCTTTTTTACATATTTTACTTTTTCAATTACATGTAAAAACAATTTTTAACATTTTTAAAAAAATTTTAAGGTCCAAATTGTTTCCCTGTCCCCTCCTCCCTCGTCCTTGAGATGACAAGCAATTTGATATACGTTATACATTTGCAGTTATGCAAAACATTTCCATTTAGTCATGTTATAAAAGAAAACAGACCAAAAAAAAATGAAAAAAAGAATGCAAAAAATAATATGCTTTGATCTGCATTCAGACTCCATGAGTTCTTTCTCTGGAGGTGGATAGCGTTTTTCATCAAAAGTCCTTCAGAATTGTCTTGGATCTTTATATTGCTGAGAATAGCTAAGTCATTCACGGTTTGATCATTGTTACACTATCGCTGTTACTATGTACAGTGTTCTGGTTCTGCTCACTTCACTTTTCATCAGTTCATGTAAATCTGTCCAGGTTTTTCTGAAAGCAACCTATTCATCATTCCCTATAGCAAAATTGCATTCTATCACAATCATATGCCACAACTTGTTTAGCTATTCCCCAATAGAGGGCATCCCCTCAATTTCCAATTCTTTGCCACCACAAAAAGAGCTGCTATAAATATTTTGTACGGATAGGTCTTTTTCCTTTTTTTTTTTTAATCTCTTCAGGATATAGACCTACTAGTGGTATTGCTGGGTCAAAGGGTATGCACAATTTTATAGCTCCCTGGGTATAGTTCCAAATTGTTCTCCAGAATGATTGGATCAGTTCACAACTCCACTAACAATGCATTAGTATCCCAATTTTTCCACATCCCTTCCATCATTTGTTATTTTCTTTTTCTGCCATGTTAGCCAATCTGGAAGGTGGGAGGTGGTACCTCAGAGCTGTTTTAATTTTCATTTCTCTAATTGATCTAAGTAATTGAGAGCATTTTTCATATGACTATAGATAGGTTTGATTTCTTCATCAGAAAACTGCCTGTTCATATCCTTTAACCATTTATCAATTGTGAAATGACCTGTATTCTTATAAATTTGATTCAGTCCTCTATAAATTTGAAAAATGAGGCCTTTATCAGAGAACCTTGCTGTAAAAAATTTCCCCCCAGTTTTCTGTTTTCCTTCTAATCTTGGCTGCATTGCTTTTGTTTGTGCAAAACCTTTTTAATTTCATGTAATCAAAATGATCCATTTTATATCCTGTTAATGCTCCCTATTTCTTGTTTGGTCACAGATTCTTCCCTTATTTATAGATCTGACAGGTAAATTAGTCTGTACTCCCTTAATGTGCTCATGATATCATCCTTTTTGTTTAAATCATGTATCCATTTTGACTTTATCTTTGCAGTTTTTGTCAAACAGTGAATTCTGGTCTCAAAAGTTGGAATCTTTGCAGCAAATATTCTTTTTCAACAACCCAAAAGGCAGCTCTACACATGAACATCCCCAGATGGTCAATATCAAAATCAGATCGATCATGTATTTTGTAACCGAAGGTAGAAAAATTCTATACAGTCAGTTGAAACAAGACTTGGGAGCTGACTGTGGCTCAGATCACATTTAGACTTAAATTATAGAAAATAGGGAAAACCACCAGACCATATAGGTATGACTTAAATAACATCCTTCATGAATATGAAGCAAAAGTGATAAATAGATTTAAGAGATGGAGTGCTTGAAGAACTATGGACAGAGGTTTAAAAATATTGTGCAGGAGGCAGCAACAAAAAAATTCCAAAGAATAAAGAGCAAGAAAGCAAAATGGCTGTCTGATGAGGCTTTACAAATAGCTGAGGAAAGAAGGACAGTGAAAAGGAAAGATATACCCAATGGAATGCGGAATTCCAGAGAATAGCAAGAAGAGATAAAAAGGTTTTCTTAAAAGAGTAATGCAAAGAAATAGAAGAAATAGAATGGGAAAGACGAGATCTCTTCAAGAAAATTAGACGTATCAAGGGAATGTTTCATGAAAAAAATGGGCATGATAAAAGACAAAAATGATAGGGACTTAACAGAAGTAGAAGATATTAGGAAGAGGTGGCAAAAATACACAGAACCAGACAAGAAAGATCTTAACATCACTGATAAACATGATAGTTTAGTTACTGATCTAGAGGCAGACATTTTGGAGAATAAAGTTGAGAGAGCCCTAGGGAAGCATTGCTAACAACAATAAGGCTAGTGGAGATGAAAAAATTCCAGCTGAGCTATTAAAATCCTAAAAGATGATGCTGTTAAAGTGTTGCACTTAATATGCCAGCAAAATTGGAAAACTCAACAGTGGCCACTGAATTGGAAAAGATCAATTTAGTCTCAATCCTAAAGAAGGGCAATGCCAGGGAACGTTCAAATTAAGGAACAATTGTGCCCAAAAAGGTTACGCTTAAGATTCTGCAAGGTAGGCTTTGGTAAAACGTGAACTGAGAATTACCAGAACAGGCTGGTTTTCGAAGAGGCAGAGGAACCAGAGACCAAATTTGCCAACATTTGCTGGATTACGGAGAAAGCAAGGGAGTTCCAGAAAAAAACATCTACTTCTGCTTCACTGACTACACTGAAGCGTTTGACTGTGTGGATCACGACAAAACATGGCAAATGCTCAAAAAGACGGGAGTACCAGATCATCTTACTTGTCTCCCAAGGAACCTGTATGCGGGTTAGACAACAGTTAGAACCAAACATGGAACAACTGATTGGTTTAAGATTGGGAAAGGAATGGTGGAGTGAAAGCAGTGACTTGCTTGAGCTCTCCCCCAAACCCCTCCAAATACCTGTAAAAAAAATGTCTCTAAACAAATTCTAGAGCAGCAGAACCCACAAAAAGACAGAGTGAAACAAATTTCCAGCCCAAAACAACCTGGATGGTTGGTTGGAAAGATCTATTGCACCAGGCTGAGAGAGGAATGAACCTGGAGCAGCCCTCAGAACTGAATCACAGGCAGCTGTGGTGGTTTCCAGACTTCTCAACCCACAAACACCAAAGACAACTTAAAAGGTCAGTAATAAAAGTCTGTGACTGCTGTGAGAAAGAAGCTCAGTCCCAGCTCCAGTGCCAGAGTGGCAGTGACTGCTTCAAGAGCTCGGCCCATGGACAGAGAGGGAATTGAGTGACTGATCAGAGGGGGATTGCAAGGATCTCTTTGCTGGTGCTGAGGCAGGATTCTCTTGCTTTTCTCATGCTTGGATCTGTGTCATAGTTCTGGGTGGCGGTCCTGGGACAAGGAGGAGCGCTGGCGTGGTAGAGCTTGTAGTGGCATGGAGAGTAAATCCTCCTCACCGTTCCAAGGCAGAAAAGAGTGCTTGTGGTCACTCATAGACAAGAGTACAGGCCAGGAAAGGAGTAAACATCTCATTCTTGATCGTACCACCTTGGAAGCACTGAAAATTTACAGGTCCCTAGAAGTATCTCTGAAAACAGCTGCACAAAATCCCTGAAGCTTGGGACAGTACATTCTCCACACTGGAAGCAGACCCCTACCTTAACAAAGAGTTTGTAACTCAAGTAATTGGCTGGGATCATGAGCAAACTGCGCAAAAAGTCAGACCATAGAATCTTTCTTTGGTGACAAGATCAAAACATAAAATCAAAAGAAGAAAACAAAGTCAAAGCTCCTACATCCAAAGCCTCCAAGAAAAATATGAATCAGTCCCAAGCCATGGAAGAGCTCAAAAAGGATTTTGAGAAGCAAGTAAGAGAAGTAGAGGAAAAACTGGGAAGAAAAATGGGAGTGATGCAAGAAAATAATGAAAAACAAGTCAACAGCTTGCTAAAGGAGATCCCCCCAAAATTGAAGAAAATAACACCTTAAAAAATAGCTTAACCCAAATGGCAGAAGAGGTCCAAAAAACCAATGAGGAGAACAATGCCTTCAAAAGCAGAATTGGCCAAATGGAAAAGGAAGTCTAAAAGGTCACTGAAGAAAATACTTCCTTAAAAATTAGAATGGAGCAAATGGAAGCTAGTGACTTTATGGGAAACCAAGACATCGTAAAACAAAATCAAAAGAATGAAAAAATAGAAGACAATGTGAAATACCTCATTGGAAAAACAACTGACCTGGAAAATAGATCCAGGAGAGAGATTTTAAAAATTATTGGACTATCTGAAAGCCATGATCAAAAAAAGAGCCTGGACATCATCTTTCAAGAAATTATCAAAGAAAACTGCCCTAATATTCTAGAACCACAGGGTGGTCACCTCCTGAAAGAGATCCCCAAAGGAAAACTGCTAGGAATATTGTAGCCAAGTTCCAGAGTTCCCAGGTCAAGGAGAAAATGTTGCAAGCAGCCAGCAAGAAACAATTCAAGTATTGTGGAAACAGTCAGGATAACACAAGATTTAGCAGCTTCTACATTAAAGGATCACAGGGATTAATATATGATATTCCAGAGGTCAAAGGAGATAGGATTAAAGCCAAGAATCACCTACCCACCAAAACTGAGTATAATCCTTCAAAGGAAAAAATGGATATTTGGTGAAATAGAGGACTTTCAAGCATTCTTAATGAAAAGACCAGAGCTGAATGGAAAATTTGGCTTTCAAATACAAGACTTAAGAGAAGCATGAAGAGGTAAACAGAAAAGAGAAATCATAAGAGATTTATTAAGGTTGAACTGTTTATATTCCTGTATGGAAAGATGATATTTGTAACTCATGACACCTTTGTCAGTATTAGAGTAGTTGGAGGGGAAAAAAATTAGATAGATAGATAGATAGATAGATAGATAGATAGATAGATAGATAGACAGACAGATAGAAGGCACAGGGTGAGTTGAAGATGAAGGGGTCATATCTAGAGAATAAAATTAAGGGGTGAGAGGATTATACTGAGAGAAGGAGAAAGAGAGAGGTAGAATGGACTAAATTATTTCACATAAAACAGATAAGAAAAAGGCTTTTACAGTGGAGGGGAAGTGGGGGAAGGTGAGAGGGAATGAGTGAATCTTATTCTTATTGGATTTGGCTTAAGGAGGGAATAACATACACACTCAATTGGGTGTGGAAATCTATCTTACCTTAGAGGAAAATAGGGGGAAAGGGAATAAGAGAACAGGGGGATGATAAAAGAGAGGGCATATTGGGGGAGGGGGTAATCAGAAGCAAACCCTTTTGAGGAGGGACAGGGCCAAAAGAGAGAATAGAATAAACAGGGGGCAGGATAGGATGAAGGGAAATATAGTTTAGTTTTCTACAACATGACTACTATGGAAGTGGTTTACATGACTACACATGTATAACCTGTATCGAGTTGCTTACCTGCTTAATGAGAGTGGGTGGGGAGGAAGGAAGGGAGAAAATTTAGAACCCAAAGTTTTAAAAACAAATGTTAACAATTGTTTTCACGGGGCAGCTAGGTGGCACAGTGGATAGAGTGCCGGCCCTGAAGTCAGGAGTACCTGAGTTCAAATCTGGCCTCAGACACATAACACTTACTAGCTGTGTGACTCTGGGCAAGTCACTTGACCCCAATTGCCTCACAAAAGAAAAAAAAAAGAGTAAAAAACAGAACAAAACAAAAAAACCAATTATTTTCACATGCAACTGGGAAATAAGATATACAGGCAATGGGGTATAGAAATCTATCCTGCCCTACAGAAAAATAGAAGGGGAAGGGGATAAGAGAAGGGGGTGGAATAGAAAAGAGGGCAGATTGGGGGAAGGGGTATTCAGAATGCATGCCATCTTGGGGTGGGGAGAGGGATGAGATGGGGAGAAAATTTGTAACTCAAAATCCTATGGAAGTGAATGTTAAAAACTAAAAATAAATAAACAAACAAACAAATAAATAAAATAGAAAATTTTTAAAAAGAAAGCCAATTCAATTACTGCATCTGACAGTGTAAACAACATTTCACACCTATGGTGTCCCCAGTTCTCCAAAAAAAAAAAAGATTCGGAAAGGAATACAACAAGGCTGTATCTTGTCACCTTATTTATTTAACTCATATGCAGAATACATCATGTGAAATACCAGGCTGGATGATTCAAAAGCCAGAATTAAGATTGCCAGTAGAGATATCAACAATCTCAGATATGTAGATCATACCATTCTGATGGCAGAAAGTGAAGAAGAATTAGGAAGCCTCTTGATGAGGGTGAAAGAGGAGAGTATAAAAGTTTAACATTAAAAAAACAACTAAAATCTTTGCAACTGGTCCCATCATTTCCTGGCAAATAGAGGGAGAAGAAATGGAAGCAGTGTCAGATTTTATATTCTTGAGCTCAAAGATCACTGTAGATGGTGACTGCAGCCAAAAAAGACACTTGCTCCTTGAAAGGAAAGCTATGGCAAATCTAGATAGCCTACTAAAAAGCAGAGACATCACCTTGACAACAAAGGTCTGTATGGCCAAAGCTAGGGTTTTTCCAGTAGCAATATATGGCTGTAAGAGTTGGACTAAAAGAAAAACTGAGTACTGCAGAATCAACACTTCAAAATTGTGGTGCTGGAAACTTTTGAGAGTCCCTTAGACAGTAATGAAATCAAATCAGTCAATACCTAAAAAAAATTAATTCAGGCTATTCACTGGAAGGTCAAATACTGAAGCTGGAGCTTAAATACTTTGGCCACCTAATGAGAAGACAAGACTCATTGGAAACAGCCCTGATGTTGGGAAAGATTGAAGGCAATAGGAGAAAGGAATGGAAGAGGATGAAATAGATAAATAGTGTCATGGAAGCAATGAACATGAACTTTGGGAGATGATGGAGGATAGACAGTCCTGTCGTGCTATGTTCCATGGATCACAAAGAGTCAGACATGACTGAACGACTCAATAACAACAACGTTCTGGAGGTCAGATGCAACAACCAGGTGAGAGTGTTTCTGCTGCCCCTACTCTAAAGTCCATTTTCACACTACACCGAGCTAGTAAAATGTGGTGGTCAGGGAAGACTGTTAATTATATAGGAAGTGAAGACTTTTGTTACCCATCTATCCAGAACAGAATTTGGAGGGAAAAAAGTTAGCAAGGACCTGCCTGAGTGCAAAGAGCCACATTGAGACACTGATCCTTTCCAGTGATGACTCTCTTACATCTCCTTAAAAACCCAGTTCCACGCAAGGGGTACTTGACGTAGTATACATTTTCCACCCCGCCCTGGATTTTTATAGTTCATAGGATCATAGATTTAGACCTGTCAGGGCCATCTAGAAGTCATCTAGGTCAAACTCCTCATTTTACAGATGAGAAAACTGAGGCCCAGAGAGATCGAGTGTCTTGCCCATGGTTAAACAGCTAGTAAATATCAGAGACCACATCTGAACTCAGGTTTTCCTGCCTTCAAGGCCGGCATCCTATCCGTTCTTTCAGTTATGATCTCAGAAATTCTGCCCAAAGAATATTTTACTAATAGGTTCTCAGATGTGTCAGTATTTGAGGATCTATTGTTTCATCACTATATTCCCTTTACTGACACAGTTTGCAACTCCTTAATGACTTAAGAGTTGGTTTTGGGAGCTGCCATGGCCCCCAAATTCCCCACTCAGTGAAGAGTGTCTCCAAACTTATCTAAGCCAGTCTTTGGGCAGCAGTCATATAGTTCACCCATTGAGGGCCAAATTCCAAAACTTTCCAGCTTGGCCCACCAGTGCCTGGCCAATAGTAAATGCTTACTAAATATTGATTGATTAATTAGAATCTGCCAGAGCTTAATCTCTCCAAAACAGATAGTCACTTCTAAGTGATGATGAGACAAAGGCTACTTGTTTTGAATGCAAAAGACATAGACTGTACTTTTGTCTTCTTTCCCTCTGTTTCGCCTTTTTGATGACATCGATACTTTCTTTGGGAACAGATTCAATCAGGTCACTCAGCTCCACCAGCCGAGATTCTACTTTAACCAACTTTTGAACTGGGTTAAGGTTGGCCATGTCCACTTCTCCAATGCAGACCTTGTATACGTGGTTGACTTTTCTACTTAGGGAGTCTATTAATTTTTCCTAAGTTTGAAAAGAAAAGGGTGACAGAAAGCATAAAAATTCATTATCAATGTAACATGTTACTAATTAATAAATACATATCAAATTGCATGAGCATTTGACTGGCAGCTGAAACTTTCTATATATGTCGTCTTCCCCATTGGAATATAAACTCCTTAAGGGCAAAGGTTGTGTCATTTTGTCTTTGTATCCTTAAGGTCTAGCAAAGTACCTGGCACATAGTAGGATTCGGTTGAATCTGTTGAATATGATACAATGAAATTTCAGCACAAAATATCTGAGTACCTCCTTAACTCTTGTAGAAGTGGAATTTAATCAATTTCATAATTAAATACATGTGATTTCTATGGTAACAAGTTGGGTTATTCTCAATCATGGATCAAAAGTAAAAAAGATGACAACAACTGGAGAATATTTTGAACAAAAATATTGAACCAAGATGTTCTAATTCCAGAGTTTTAACTTTACTTGATAAAGTTGTTGGGGTAAAGTGGAAAACTTGACGCAGATTTTGGAAAACCTCTGATTCCAAAACAAGTTCTCTTTCCAATATTCCAATGAGAGCCTCCAACTGAAAAATCTGGAACCATAAGGATTTTTAAAAATAAGGCTTTGAAAGGAAGGTTGGAGAGTGGGAAAGCTTGGGTTTATAACCAAAACTGTAAGAATTTTTAAAAAGTAATTTTCAGCTCCATCCTACCCCACGGTTGAGGAATTTAGGTGCTCTTCTCTTTCTTCTCTCTTCACACCCTCTCAGTGACCTCATTCTGTGGGTTCAGTTCAATTACCATTTCTATGCTGGTGACTCCCAAACCTATCTAACTAACCTCAATTTCTTCTTTGAATTCCAGTCCCACACTTCCAGCTACTTGTTGCACAAGCATTTCCCTGATAATACCTCAAACCAAATATGTCCAAAATACAACTAATCGTCCTCTTTAGAAAGGACCTTTTGTCCAACTCCCCTATTTCTACTGACAACACTCAGATCCTCCTACTCATCCAGGTTTGAAGTTTTGGAATCATCTTCAACTTTTTCTTCTCCCCATTTAATCAGTTGCTAGTCCTGTCTTTCCAATCAAAATTCCCCCGACCTATTTGTTAAACTGTCACAATAAGCTTCTAATTCACATCCCTGCCTCCAATCCTCCCTTTCACAGATGTGGAATTTTCTTAATGGGTTAGATCTAACTGGGTCATTTGTCTGCTGGTATCTTATTGCTAATTGTATAAAGTTTGGTCTTAGTTTGGCGTTTAATTTAATTGTGGTCTTCCACAAGTTGGCACCATTCTAGTCCTATTTCAGTTTACTTCCCTTTATATGCTTTCTATTCTAGTCCAATTGAACCTACATTGACATGTAATCTCCCATCTCTGTGTTTTTGCACAGACCATCCTCCATGGCAGAATACATACTCTTTTCATTTTTCACTTTTCAAAATCTTTATTACCTTCCTTCAAGGCTCAGCTCAGGAAGTATCCTCTGACCTCCCAAGCAGAATGTAAGCTCCTTGGGGTCAGGGAATATGTCATTTTGACTTTAATCTTTATATTCCCAGTAGGGAGGGCAGTACTCTATACATTGTAAGCACTTAATATGTGTTTGTTAAAATTAATGAAGAGGATAGGAATCTCTTCCAATGCTACTCTTCTCCTTTTTTTTTTTTTTAAGGCAATCAGGGATAAGGAACTTGCCCAGGGTCACACAGCTAGGAAGTGTCAAGTGTCTGAGGTTGGATTTGAATTCACGTCCTCCTGACTCCAGGTACAGTGTTCTATCTACTACTCCACCTTGCTGCCCCTCTGTTCCTTTTCTCTGAACCAGAGTAACTAATGGGTCAAGGAGAGACTCACTGTCAATGGGCAGCTTGTAAGCTCAGATTCTATTAAAAGTACCATGGGAAAATTAAGTAGCAATGCCAATACGCTTCTGGAATTATGTCTAGTTATCAGTATCTGTGGCAATCATCTACCTTCCCTAATCTAGTCCACACTTTCAAGAGGTGTATGAGGGCAGCGGTGATATGTAGCTTCCCTCTGGTGGTATCCTTCATGGACAGTAGGGTGGGGTCAATCACTTTCCTTCCACTCTATGTAAAACCTCATAAAGATTCCTATCAAAAGATGCTCATAAATCCTCATAAAAATTCAGCGATTTTATAAATACTTTCCTCCAACCACTCCCATAAAATTGTAAGTGAGCAGGGTCTGTTTCAGTCAGTTAGAATTTATTAAAAGCCAGGCACTGTGCTAAGTGCTGCGTCCTCTTTAACTTTGTAGACCCAGCACCTAACGCAGCACCTGCAGAGGATCAGGGGATTTTAGAATTGCAAGGAACCTCAGAGTTCCTCTAGTTCATAGTAGATGAGGAAACTGAGCCCTAGAAAAGTGATATGATTTGTCCAAGGTCACTCAAGGAGTGAGTGGCCAAATTAGGATGGGAACCCTAGATCCTCTGCCTCCAAATTCATCCTGGCCACCGTGCCACGGGTTTTCAATGTATGTTTTAAATGTTTATTGATTTGAATTGTATGGAAATAAACCCATCTATTCAAAGGCAAGCTTGTTCAGTTAAATGTGATTAGTCCTATGAGGGATGAAAATCACTTTCCCTTTGATGGTTTTATCAGGGAAAGTAACACTGCCTATAATTAGAGGTCTGAAAACCAAAGCTGGCAGACCCCACCTGATTAAATGCAGAGCTTCTGATTTTCATTTTGTGTCACAGACCCTTCAGGCATTCTGGTGAAGTCTATGGAACCCTTCTCAGAATAATGTTTTTAAATGTATAAAGTAAAATACATAGGAATTAAAGGAAACCAATTATATTAAAATACAATCATCAAAATTTTAAAAAAAAGAATAAGTTCATGGACCCCATCTTAAGAAGTCCTGGATTAAAGAGAAACTCAATCTCATAGGAAAAAAAAAACCTTCAGCAAAGACATTCTTCTAATTACTGTTAGATACTTGAACACCAATCCACAGGCTTGTATATTTCACACTCCTGTAAGTGGACTCTCAAATATATTACAACCGCATGTATAATTATAATCAACTCTCTAGTGGCTGTCTGGATTTTCCACAGAAAACTTTAAAACCAAGATAATTTACTTTCTCTTTTATCAAAGATAGATTTGGGGGTCCACTAAACACCACGTCATCATAGGATCATAAACCTGTGATTTCATTCCCATAGGGAACTCTTAGAAGAGATGGAAGCCATCTCAAAGGCCATTTGGTCCAGGGAAGTGAAGTAAGTTGCTCATAGCACAGGTAGTAAGTGGCAAGAGCTAGGATCCGAAACCAAGTGTTTTGATTTCAAGCTATTATACCAAGCTCCCTCTAGATTGTGTATGCACTTATCCCTTCCACATCTTGGGTTTCAATATCTTATAGATCAGTATAAGAAATGAAATGGGAACGTTAGGGGAGTTTTGTGGAAGCTGTAGATGACAATTCGAAGGCTAACAGACAACAGAAAGCCTATGACCAAGTACTTAACCCAAATTTTACAACAAAAAAATGTAAACACCCCATAGAAGAAAAAGAAAAATCAGACTTCTTCTCTGGTTCTCTGGAGGGCCAAAAAAATTGACCAGGATTTTCCAAAACACTGGAGGGGGAGGGGAAGAGGCAACGCCTCTCCCTTGAGGTGGAAGGGATAACTGTATACAAGAATTAGAAGCTAGGCTCTCTATAAGCTTAAACCATTACCTGAACTTCTGAATTAAACTCGCCAAAACTAAATAGCCGCGATCTTAATTCCAATTCTGCTGCTTTTTCTTCTTCTCGAGCACAGTTATTCTTCAGCATTTCTTTTTGATCTAATAGAGCCTCTATGCTGCTATTCCTGTTACAAAAGAAGAAAAAGAGTGTAATCACTGAATACAGAGTTTTAATACGGTGAATTTCCAGAACTGGGGGACGTGATTAAAAACTCTCACCCTCTACCTAAGAAGAACCAAAGGAAATAACTAGATATAGAATCAACTAAATTAAATAGACATAGAAATTGCTGCACCCTAACATATAGTTTATGAATGGACAGTTGAGTAAGGTCTTTCAAACTCAATTAGACCAGAATGCCTTCCGTATCTCTGAAGCTGTAGTCCATAAAAACACATCTTGTTGATGCCATCTACATAGCCAACCATTCACTTTACATGGTGAGGTCCCAATCTTAATAAGAAGAAATGAGGAAAATATCAGCACCTGGACCCCACCTTGCTGCCTAGGGCTTCTGGTAACCTCATTCTTTCCCATACAAATCAGAAGATGTTGGTAGCAATTGGTGGGCTTGTTTTCAGTATTGGCATGCTCTCTGTCACCACATTTCCAGAAGAAGACATACCTCCCAAGAGTTTACATACAGTGTCTTTTAGCCTTCATTAGGAAAACCCTGACTACTTTCTTCCTCCTAGAAACTTCACCACTAACCATTAGAATTTTTTTTCTTTGTTTTTCCCCTAAAAATACATTTTTATTGATATCTTTAGTTTCACGTCACCTAGATTTGCCTCCTGAATCCATCCTCCTGTGCCTGCTAGAGATATATCTCTTATAACAAAGAATTTTATTTTTTTAAAAAAGAAAAACATTCAGCAACATCTATCAACACACTGAAAAAAATCAGACATTATACACAATGTTCCACATCTGTGGACAGCCCCCAACCCCCAATCTCTGTAAATAACCATTACAATTATTATATGCAGCTTAGGCACAACGCATACAGGCAGTGTGGCATGGTGGCTAGAGGCTGGCTTCAGAGCCAAGATGTGAAGGCTCAAGTCCTGTGGCCCTCGCTAGGTTACATAACCTCTCAGTGCTCTACATAACTTTGTAATGCTGTAAGTTGAAGACAGGGTGCTAACAATCTGCATTGGTAGATGGAGCTTTCTCTTCTAGGAGTTCCCTGTAGGAATGAAATCATAGGTCCACTTTCTATCCCTGTTAGATTTTTAAAAACAACCCCAAAAAAACCCAAACCAAAGAAGAAAAAACAAAACAAAAACAAAAAAACCCAACCCTGGATAGAAAAAGAACATGAGAAATTTGGGACCAAACTTAGAAATTCCTTCCCTGTTTTGGGTGACTTACACTTTATCTTGTATAGCCTTTTCTCTTTTTGATACATCTTCTAGAGTTTCATCAATATCTTGGGAATATTGTACCAAAGTAAGATTCTGCTCCTCCAGCTTGGTGAAGACCTGAAGTAACTCTTCCGGTTCTTTGAAGTAAAGCTCAGGTTCCTAATCAATTTTTAAAAGACACGGTGTTGTGCTCCTCTTTAAAGACCCACCCCATAAAGCATACACTTAACTTCAGACTGATTTTCTTTTTTTAGTTTAAAACAATGTCACACAGTGGAGGAACATGGTCCTGGTGATGTTTGATAAAGAACATAGAGGAGGAAACCAGGGTGAAGGAGTAATGCTAGAAGGAGAAATGTATTGGGCAGGGATGGGGAATCAGGTGAAAAAGAGGCTGGATTGTGAAAGGGTAATCAAGTGGTTATTTGGTCAGGCAAGAAACTTTCCCAAAGTGGGGGAGAAGCAGAGAGAACAACAGGAAGAAGGAAAAAAGAAGGCAGATGTGGAGAGCATCAATTGGTCAATATACATTGATTTTGTCGTTGTTCGGTCATTTTTTTTTTCAGTCATGTCTGACTCTTTGTGACCCAATTTAGGGTTTTCTTGAAGAAATACTAGAATAGTTTGCCATTTCCTTCTTCAGTCCATTTTACAGTTGAGGAAACTGAGGCAAATGGGAGAAGTGACTTGCCCAGGGTCACACAGCTAGTAAGTGTCTGAGGTGGGATTTGAAACTGGGAAAGAGGAGTCTTGCTGACTCCAGGCTTGGCACTCAATCCACTGTGCCACATAGCTACCCTCATTCATTATTATTGTTATTATTACTATTTATTAGCCAAAGATACTGGAGTGGTTTGCCGTTTCCTTCTCCAGTTCATTTTACAGATGAGGAAAGTGAGGCAACCAGGGTGAAGTGACCTGCCTAGGGTCCCACAGCTAGTAGGTGTTTGAGGCCAGATTTGAACTCAGGAAGATGAATCTTCCAGACTCTAGGTGGTACTCTATTCATTGTGTCACCTGCCTGCCCCTAAGCATTGATTAAGCACCTGCTATGTGCCAGGCAGTATGCTAGACCCTGAGAATACAAAAACAAAAATGAAATCGTCTCTAACCTCAATTAACAATAAAAAAATAGCTAGCACTTGAGCCTTTCCCAAACCCCATCTCATTTATTTCTCACAACGACTCTGAAGGGTACATGCTAATTATTATCTCCATTTTACAAATGATGAAAACTGAGGTTGAGAGGCATATAGCTAGTAAGTATCTAAGACTTTAGGATTCGAATTCAGGTCTTCCTTACTCCAGGTCCAAAGCGCTATCCACTGCACCACCTAGATACTGTAGCTTATGTTTTATTGGGATAGGGGCAATTATATGTACGTATAGAATATGTACTTAACACATCCCATACAAGGGGAAAAGGAGAGAGGGGGGACATAGAGGTGGAATAAAGGAAGAGCAAAAAGTGAATATGGAAAAGGGTAGAGGGGAAATGAGTGAAGGAAGAATCTAAGCTTCTTGAGGGCAGGGACTGTTTGGGATTTCGTCCTTGTTTCTCATTCGCAAAGAGGACTAAAATGACATCATTATGTTAGAGTCAAGTTACAGAGCGTCCAACTGTGGCTGATCAGATCAATGGGAGCTTGGGATGATGTCACACCCTGCTGGGCGGTCCTGTGCCACTGTCTCCCCTGGGACCCAATCAATTCCAAAGTTCCTTAGAGAGACCTTGAGAGTGTCCTTGTATCGCTTCTTCTGACTGCCATGGCCCAATGGCCACGGGTCTGGGACTCTCTCCGTACTAGTGGAGAGCAATGCCCTGCACCTGTGTCAGGAGGTGGGGTGGAGGTGGCAAAAATGAGAGAGAAGAGAGAGAGAGAGAGAGAGAGAGAGAGAGAGAGAGTTCTTCAGTCTCTTTGGCTTTACAATGGTTTCAGGTTCTTCTAGCCCTCCAGAGAGAAGATGAATGATGCCAACCCCAACTCAGGTTGCTGAAGACTCTGGCAAGAAGTTGACATGGGAGGAGCTGGCCATCTCCATCATGTTGTTGTACTATCAAGGGAACTTCCCCTTGTGTGAAATCTAGGACTCTCTCTGTCTCGGTTGAGTGGAGTTACCCAGCTTCCAATGGAACAGCTTCCTCTCTCTGTATTGTCTGGCATATATCCTTCTATGTATACTTTCTCTAATTTCTGTTTTGATATAATTCGGATAAATGAGTTTCTTTGATAATTGCTAAGTGTATTTATTATGGAATTGGTACTTGGTGGGAAAAGAGTCAAGTCTTGGAGATAAAGTTTGGGGTCCTCCTCCCCCAATAATGAAACAGTCATCAGAAGTTAGATTAAACCTGAAAACCACATCCCCTGGATTAATTATATTTAAGGCAGCAGATAGATGTAATTCTAGCTCAGTACCCTCTCTCTCTGAGGAGAGTGGAGATCTCGGCCACCTCTGGCCCCAACCTCTTGCTTTTCCTTCTGGCGGGAATTAAAGTCTCTCTTGGAGAAGGATGGGGAAAGAAAAAGCTAAAGACGTATATTTTACTTCCCTTTAAGTCATACACCACCACCACCATGCTATATGTGGAGACAGCACCAGTATTTAGCACAGTGCCTTGCACATGGTAGGTGCTCAATAGATATCTGTTAGTCAAATAAAGGTACCACGTGAAAGGAAAAGGAACAAAAAAAGGGAAGAAATGAGACCTTGATCTGAATTCTAGTGGTACCACTTAGTATGTGTATAACTTTGAGCAAGTCAATTTATGTTTCTGGGCCTCAGTTTCCTCATCTGTAAAATGAAGGGATTGGACTAGGTGACATTTATGGTTCTTTCAAGCCCCAAATCTTTTAATTCACTGATTAAAAGTTTAAGTTTTAATTTAACTGAGTTTAAGATAGAAGGAAAAGAAGAGAGGGAGATAAGAGGGCTGGTGAAAAGTAGGGAAATAGGGGAGTAAAGGCGAAAAGGACACTGGGAAGTGTGTTGCCTAGGCCCTCATAGCTCATGGAAAGATCATTCTTTAGTAATCTGTGGTCCTCCTAAAAAAATGCATTTCATCTAGGTGTGTCCTGATAACAATGTTGTAATTATATGCACATAGAGAGTGTCTATATAACCTTAGAGAAAGTTTGAGAAGTGTTTGAAATTCCCCAAAAGTAAGATTTTAAAAGAAGATATGTGTCCATGATTTTCCCACTGAACAAGTATTTAAATAAATCAAGAATATTATTTGGTTACCAAATCACAGTCTATTTCATCAGCACCAAAATCCAAACTGTCTTCTGAACTAATACTTGCAGCCCTGTCCAGAAAAAAGAAAAAAGAAAAATTAAGTTCCTGCCTCTTTTGTCTCATTTCTTCCCACTTATTTTGTGTAGTTAGGTTTTTTTCCCCAACAGTTTTTTTTTAATGGAAAAAAAAGTCATGGAATAGAATTTGATTTAGTAGTGCCTTAGGAATCGGATTCTAAGGAGCAACACCATTTCAGCAGCTTGCCTAGTCTATTAGGGACACAATGACTCAATATGTCCTCAATTCCATCAGTCTCTCAGTCAACAAATATTGACGTATGCTTCTAAGATAAAGCATGATACCACCTCCAGACAGAAAGGTAATGGGCATATGTTTTTAAACATGGCCCATGTGGGAAGTAGCTTTACTTGCCTGTTTGTATTGGTTACAAGGGTTTAATTTTTCTTTTTTTTTTTAATTTCCAAGGGGAGTGGAAATAAGAGAGAGAAGTGAGATTTTTGTTAATTAAACAAATAAAGTTTAATTAAAAAAAAACAAGCATTAGTTATAGTCACTGAATTCAAGTACCTTATAGGACTGAATCAGATTATAGATCTAGAGATGTAAAGGGACTTTAGAGGTCAGATAGTCTTCTCTCCTCATTTTACAATTAGAGAAGTGACCTACCCAAGATCACACAAACCATAAGTATTAAAACCCAAACCTCTGATTCTGGAGCTAGCACAATTTCTGATACAAAATGCATTGTGATCAGACTTCTTAAGTGGATCAAAAATTGTTTGTCTTTACAATGTCTTTGTTATTGTGTAAATTGTTCTCCATGTTCTGCTCTCTTTACTCTGCATTGATTCATAGAAGTTTTCCCTGAAACTATCCTTTTAATCATTTCTTTTTTTGTTTTTTTATTTTTTTATTTTTAATTTTTTAATCATTTCTTACTGCACAATAGTATTACATAAACCATAATTTATTGAGCCATTCTCCTTTGTTTCTAACTTCTTTGTCATAACAAAAAGAGCTGCTAGAAATATTTTTCCACATATGAGTCTTTTTTCCCCCTCTTTCTTTGATCTCTGTGGGGTACAGGCCTAATAGCAGAATTACTAGGTCAAAGGATATGCAGCTTCCGGAAATAACTGAGGTAACAAGTACAAGGAAGCACGGCAAAACTTCTCAGCCACGAGCACTCTCCAAAAACCAAATGTGCTGCTTATAGGTTATAGGTTCCCCTTTCTGTGAAGGTCTCCACACATAAACGGATGACCACTTGGGGGTGCTATGGAGAGGATTTTTATTTAGACTGGCTGGCTGCCGTGGGATGCATGTGTTGTCAACAAGGAAATGTCTCAAATTTTAAAAATTATAATACTTAAAAATCATTTAAAAATGTTTGCACCTGCTGAATGTCAGTGCCCCGAGGCTAGACACTAGTCTACACACCCTAGTTGTGGACCTCACTTCTCCAGTTCACAGTGATCTCTGCAATTTCAGAATGCCAGCACCTTTACAGGAGCAAGGGAGATACTGCAAGGAGCTCTGAGAATCCAAATGCAAATCCGCAAATATGCAAACATGCGTTTTCTTAAGTTCTTTGAGGACAGCAGGTGTCTCATTTTTCTTTGCATACCCAGAACCTAGGTGAATTCCCGGCACAATTGTTGTGGTCATTGTTCAGTCATTTCACTTGTGACTGACTGTCTGTGACCCCATCTGGGCTGTTTGTGGCAAAGATCCTAGAGCGGTTTGCCGTTTCCTTCTCCAGCTCATTGTACAGATGAGGAAACTGAGGCAAACAGGGTGAAGTGACTTGCCCAGGGTCACACAGCTAGTGAGTGTCTGAGACCAGATTTGAGCTCAGGAAGATGAGTCTTCCTGATTCTAGGCCTGGCCCTCTATCCACTGGGTCACCTACCAACCCTTAAATGCTCGTTGAATGACCACAGATTGAATAAACAATATATCTCACTGTATATGTATTATACCTATTGGCATACTTATATCCATATTTCTCTTTTTCTGTGTCTGTTATTTTTGTATGCCAAATCTGAACAGTGTGGCACAGAAGTAGAGGCCCTGGGCTTGGTAGTCAGTGGACCTGGGGTCAAGCAGAACAGCCTCCAAATCGCACTTCTAAAGCTTACTACCAGTGTGACTTTGAGAAAGTCTCTTGAACTCTCTGGGTCTCAGTCTCCTCATCTGTAAAATGAGGGGATTGGATTAGATAGCCACTAAGGTTCCCTCCAACTCTAGATGCAGGAACCTGGAGTGTGTCTCAGCCCCAGAAGCAGATCCTTTGGTTTAACCAAAGCAGATATTTTGATTAAGTCTTTGGGTGATTAAAGGATGATGGAAGCGTTGGAAAAAGGGAGCAGTGAACCCTCAGCAATCTGGACGTGCAGAACCCAGAACTGCAACAGGCAGGAGGGGAAGGGATACATTGTCCAAGGTAAGAAGACCTTCCCATAGTTAAAAAGAGATTGTCCTGAATGACAGAGGGTTGCATTGCTCCTCATTGGCTGGGCAGTGCCAAGGACTCTCCACTGGGAGGCAGTAGAGAGCAGCAGAGCGCACTACCTGGAGCCGCCCACGGGGAACAGAAGACGGCTAGCTCCAGCGTGTTACCTTAGTTACGGTTGCCTGATGCCATTTCTACGTTACCGCCCCCGCCCCTCCCCATCGCCCCCACTTTCCTGTCCCCTACAGGCAACTAGGTGGTGCAGACGAGTCCTAGACCTGGAGTCAGAAAGACCTGAATTCCAGACCCTACACAACCCGCTTTACCTCTGCCTCAGTTTCCTCATCCGTAAAATGGGGATGATAGCACCTATCTCCCAAGGTGGTTGTGAATATAAAATGAAATAAGATTGGAAAGCGCTTAGCACATAGTAGGTACTTAATAAATGCTTGTTATCTATCTATCCCAGTACAAGGAATGAGGTCAGCAGAAAAAATTCTGAGGAGCCCTACTAGATGGAATCTGATATCATCGGATCATAGGGTCACTGATCTAGAGCTGGAAAAGTGCTTATTAGAGGTTATCTACACGAATCCTATTATTTTACAGATAAGGAAACTGAAATGACTTGCCCAAGGTCACAGACGTAGTAAGGAGAGATGAGATTGAAGCCTAGGATTTCTCATTCCTGACGCAGGACACATTCTGCTGCCTGATCTTGTCTCCTTCTCTAGTATTCTTCCCTCCCCATCTTGGCTCCTTGGATTCAGCCATGTGGCCTTGCCTCCCAATGACACCGCCCAAGGCAACGTAGCCTGAATTCTCTCATTTTCACCCTGTTCCGCCTCAGAGCTGTGTCTTCACCCATTCCCTCCTTCCAATACTGCTTGCACTGAAATCACATTTTAATGCTTCATCACGGCAGGGGGATGTCCGCGGGCTCCCAAATGCTTTGCTAGGGGTTCTGGCAGATCCTGCCACGCTGGGTTTTTATATGTGACCACACCCCTCATAGTCCTCTGGTATGGACTTCTGATGACAACTGTTTCAAAAGAGGTAATTAATTTCATACTTTACTTTGGTGATTCGGGTTTCTTTTTTTCAGGTGAGACTTTTTTTGGCTTTCTTCCCTCTTCATGGAAGTTGGTTTGTAAGGTTGTTGTTTTGTTTTTTTTAAGGAAAAAAAATAACACAATTAAAAATTTTATGGTCACTAGAATATGCATTCTCTGTGTGGATATAGTCATGGCATTTTGTTATTGCATAGAACATAAGTTAAAGCTTAACTTCCTCATAAGCTAAAAGCTAATTTTCTCATAGAATCGGAGGTTGACTTACTGCTAGAAGGATACTTGGAGGATGACCCTCTCGTTTTACAAATGAGGAAACTGAGACCCAGGAGGTCTTAACCCAGAGTCCCATGGGTCTTGACAAGAGTCACATAGCTAGTATCTGAGGATTCGATCCTGCCTCTCCTACCCAGCTAATGGCCAAGTCTTGTCAATTCCATTTCTTTGACCCTTTCTTTCTGTCTCTGTTGTCACCCCCACCCCAAGCCCTTACTCCCCAGGTCTGATTTTCGTTATTGCTTACCTGGACTACTGGAGGAGTTCCGCACTAGTCTCCCTGCTTCTATACTCTCTTTTCCTAATATAAAGGTCTGATTATGGCACTCCCGCCCTCTGCTACCCCTAACTGAAAAAAAACCCCTTCTATAGCTCCTTATCACCTACCAAATAAACTCCAAACTAGCATTCATGGTCCCACTACATCCTTTTCCAGACTTCTCTCCTATCGTTCCTCTCCATCTGTACCTTTCATACAATCATAGCTTTACATACAGAAGTGACCTTCGAGGTCAGAGGATCAGAGACCTAGAGCTCTTATTTTACAAATGGAGAAATTAAGACTCGAAGAACAAAGACTTGCCCAAGGTCATACAGGTACTGAATGGCAAAGCTAAGACTTGAACCAGTTCAAATCCACACTCTTCCCACCATTCCACTATTCCGCTATTTTCACTATACGAGTTTTACTATAAATTTATAGTTTAAATGAATTATATTTTTGTAAACTTTCACCACTTCCATCTGAATCGTAAGCTCCTCAATTAGGGGCAGAAAGTGTGTTTAATTTATCTTTGTGCTGGTCCTGGTGCCAGCACACACATATTAATAGCTATTTAATCGACAAGTACTTACTTGAATGCCTACTATGTGCCAGCTGCTGGGGGGTCCAAGTGTAAAAAATGAGACACTTCCTGCCCTCAAGGAATTTACATTCTTAATATAAGACTGCTGAATTAGACCAATGGGCAGCTAGGTGGCACAGTGGCCTGGAGTCAGGAAGACAAGTTCAAACTGGCTGTGTGATCCTGGGCAAATCACTTCACCCTGTTTGCCTCAGTTTCCTCATCTGTAAAATGAGCTGGAGAAGGAAATGGCAAACTATATCTCTGCCAAGAAAACCTCAAAAGGGGTCACGAAGAGTCAGACACAACTAAAGTGACTGAACAACAAATTAGACCAAATATTTATTTTTTTGGGGGGGTGTTACATCTATTTTACTGAAATAGACTTGCCACTAGTAGATTAGCCACAAGGAAACCCATGCCTGAAACTGTGCACCTTTGGTCTCAGTGTTCAGGGCTGGTCCTTGGCAAAATTATGAAATAGATAATATTGGGGTTTTGGGCACCGTCCCACTTTTCTCTTCCACCACCTCCCTCTCCTCTATTCCCAAGATGCCTCCTAACTGCCCTTTGAGCACCAAATTTTTGGTCTTTTCTGCCCTGCTCTCCTCAACAGAGCTTATTTGTTATTAGATCTAAGGTTTAAAAATTCCAAGAGTAAAATATAAGATAGGGACAGGAGCTGTGATTTCAATAGTACAGGGAGTTCCCTGGATAAGGAAACTTTCTTTGCCAATGGCTTTCCTAGAGAGTCCTAGAGAATGGTCCAGAGAACAGAGAGGTTCAATGACTAACTAGATCAGGGTGACACAGCCAGTATGTATCAAAGTTAGAACTTGACTAGGTCTTCCTGGTTCTGAGGCAGTTTCTCTATCTATGCCATGTTGTTTTTCTTAAAATATAGATAATCAAAATTTTATATCACTAAGTTCTTGCCATTAAACCTCGATGTGTGACATAGAGGACATAGAAGAAGCATGTTGTTGTCATAAAATTAGCATCTAATTATCTTACATCTTTTTTAAAAAATATTGTCTCCTGGGTATGATTTATCTACAACACAGAGAATATATGTGCCAGGCACTATGCTAAGCACATTACAAATATTGTCTCTTTTGATCCTCACAACAACCCTAGGAGGTAGGTGTTATCATTATCCCCATTTTACATAGGGGGGAACTGAGGCAGACAGAGGTTAAGTGATTTACCCAGGGTCACACCCCTAGTAAGTATCTGAGGCTAGCTAGATTTGAACTCAGGTCTTCCTGACTACAACCTAGTTTCAGGATGAATAAATTATAACAGATGTAGGAAACTTAACTTCTCAGCCACCAACTGCCTCCCTGAGTCAACTATTTATCAAAGCTCTCCCCTTCCTCCCCCCTCAACAAAAGATTAGAAAGTGAGACCTGACTTACCAAGGGACATTTTTACCTACAATTAAATTCTGGTCTGAAACTGGAAGTAAGAAACTATACATATTGTTGGTCTTAGAAGGCCTGGCAGGGACCCAGGAGCCCACCCCTTCTCTTCTCCCTTCATAGCCCTATGGTACTCTAGAGACCTTTAGGCCCGGAGTGGCCCCCATGATTCAAGATTTGAAAGTCTCCTTCCCCCACCCCCTTTTGCATATAAGCAGAGCATTTCACTGGCTAGTGTAGACATGATCCATATGCTGACAATCATTACTGATCTTGATCCTCTGATAAAAGTACAGGTCCCTTTCCTAGGCTTTGAGATGGCCACCTTCTGAGTTTTTCTTTCTCCGAGAGAGGGGCTCAGACCCTCGGGACTCCAGTTGAAAACTTTTTCCGCGGCCAGAGTCTTCCATATTCAATGTCTTGATCATCTCGATGTTTTCCCTGGATGCTCGACCCTTTGGAATAAGTAGTGGCCCTAAAAGGAGGGGAGGGGAGAGATAGAGACAGAGAGAGACAGAGAGACAGAGAAAGAGACAGCGAGAGAGAGAGAGAGAGAGAGAGAGAGAGAGAGAGAGAGAGAGAGAGAGAGAGAGAGAGAGGTGTTATAACTTTTAGTAACAGGTTGTAGGATTGAGATAACAAGCCTTCTCTTATCTCTTGCTCCTTACTGGCCCCCCTTGATGTGGGTGTTCCCTATGGGTGTTTCCTTGTGATTCTTCCTTTCTCTTTTTAAACTGCCTTTACTATGGCAGGCTCATACACTCCCATGCCTTCAACCACCTCTGTACTGATAACTCCAAAATCTATACCTCTAAGACTGACCTCTCTTCTGAGCTCTAGACCTGCAAATTCAACTGCCTATAGGACCACTCCACTGGCAGCTCAGAATCCACTTGCTAAATAAAATAAAATTTATTATCATTATAATTATTACTGTCCCTCTCTACTTTGTATTTAATCACCTCGCATAGATTGATTGATCTATTATCTATCTATCTATCCTCTTTATATTTGTTCTGTAGAGAGGTAGGTAGAGCAGTGCAGTGGATAGAGTCAGGAAAAACCATCTTCCTGGCCTTAGACACTTACCAACTGTGGGACCCTGGGCAAGTCACTTCCCCCTGTTTGCCTCAGTTTCCTCATCTGTCAAATGAGCTGGAGAAGGAAATGGCAAACCACTCCAGTATCTCTAAGAAAACCTCAAAAGGAGTCACGAAGAGTTGGACACGAATGAAATGACTGAACAGTAAGAGTAACACGAAATTTAACAAAGGACTGAAAAACAACAAGATGACTTGCCAGTCAAGTCAAACTCCCTTTCCTGGCGTTCAGAGGACTTTACATTCTGGAACTGAGGCACCTTTCCAAGCCTCGTGTCGTGCTACCAACCCACCACTTACAGAGTAGCAAAACCGCACTGTTCACTGCCCCTGTTATCTCTCCTCCTGCAGCTCCTCCACATGTCTCCCATTCAGCAGATGCTGCCTTCTTTATAGAGCCCTCCCTGGTCACTCAGGACCTTAATTCATACAGCACTTTGTTTTAGGCCTCAGAGGCCTCTAGGGGTAGGGAACCTAGCCCAGTTCCTCCAGGTGCGCCCTCCTTAATCAATCAATAAGCATTTATTAAGATCCTACTATGCGTTTTATGAAAAACCAACAAAATAGACAAACCCTTGGTTAACTTGATTTAAAAAAAGAAATAAGAAAACTAAATCACCAGTATCAAAAAGAAAGGATGAATGCACTGCCAATGAAAATGAAATGAAAGCAATTATCAGGAGTAATTTTGCCCACTTACATGTCAGCAAAACTGAAAATCTAAGGAAAACTGATAAATATTTACAAAAAATATAAATTTCCCAGATTAGCAGAAGAGGAAATGGAATAATTAAATAACTCTATCTTGAAAAGGAAATTGAGCAAGAATAAATGAGCTACCTGGGGAAAAAATTCCTCAGGAGCAGATAGATTTACAAGCAAATTCTACCAAACATTTAAGAAAAAATTAATCCCAATAACAACAGACTATTCGTGCATTGTTTGACCTTACTCTCATCACATTTGGTTCAAAGACAGAATAACATAATCAGTTAGGTATAGAAATCTAACTTACCCTATAGGAAGTAGAAAGGGTAAAGGGAAAAGAAAAGGGAGGGGGATAATAGAAGGGAGGACAGACTGGGGGAGATAGTGGTTGAAAACAAAACTCTACTGAGGAGGGAAAGGGAAAAAAGGAGAGAAAAAAGCATAAACGGGGGGGTGGGAAATAGGATGGAGAGGAAGACACAGATAATAATCATAACTGTGAATGGGAATGGGATGAACAGAAAGCAGAATGGATTAAGAACCTACAATATGTTGTCTACAGGAAACACATTTGATGCAGGGATACACAAAGAGTAAACGTAACAGGCTGGAGCAGAATATATTGTGCTTCAGCTGAAGTGAAAAAACCAGGGGTAGCAATCCTGATCTTAGACAAAGCAAAAGCAAAAATAGATATAATTAGAAGAGATAAGGAAGGAAACTACATCCTGCTAAAAAGTGCCATAGATAATGAAGTAATATCATTGCTAAACATACATGCACCAAGTTGTATAGCAGCCACATTCTTAAAGGAGAAATTAAGGGAGATGCAGGAAGAAATAGACAGCAAAACTATACTAGTGGGGGACCTCAACTTCCCACTCTCTGAACAAGATAAATCTAACAACAAAATAAATAAGAAAGAAGTTAAGGAGATCAATAGAATCTTAGAAAAGTTATATATGGTTGACCTCTGGAGAAAACTGAATGGTGACAGAAAGGAATATACCTTTTTCTTGGTGGTACATGGCACCTACACAAAAATTGACCACGTTCTAGGGCATAAAACCCTCACAATCCAATGCAGAAAGGCAGAAACATTAAATGCATCTTTTTCAGATTATGAGGCAATAAAAATCAGACATAATAAAGGGCCGTGGAAAGATAGACTAAGAAACTAAATAATCTAATATTAAAGAATGAAATAATCTAATATTAAAAAATGAAATCATACAAACATTCAACAACTTCATCCAAGAGAATGACAATAATGAGACAACATACCAAAAGTTATGGGATGCAGCGAAAGCAGTCTTTAGGGAAAGTTTTATATCTCTAAATGCCTATATGAACAAAATAGAGAAAGAAGAGGAAAAAACAATATAAACTATTTTTGAAAATAGGTAAAGAAGGAGTCCTACCAAATTCCTTCTATGACTCAAATATGGTCTTGATACCAAAACCAGGGAGAGTAAGAACAGAGAAAGAAAACTATAGACCAATTTCCCTAATGACTATCAATGCAAAAAATTTAAATAAAATACTAACAAGGAGATTACAGCAATGTATCACAAAGATCATACACTATGACAAAGGGGGAGTTATACTAGGAATGCAGGACTGGTTTAATATTAGGAAAACTATCGGCATAATTGACCATAATCAACAACAAAAACAACAGAAATCATATGATTATATCAATAGATGCAGAAAAAGCTTTTGACAAAATACAATACCCATTCCTATTTGAAAAAAAAAACATTAGAAAGCAATGTAGAGAGAAAGTAAATGGAGCCTTTCTTAAAATGAAAAATAGTAATTATCTAAAATCAGGAGCATGTATTATCTATAACAGGGATATGCTAGAAGTCTTCTCAGTAAAATCAGGCGTGAAGTAAGAATGTCCATTATCACCACAATTATTCAATCTTCTATTAGAAATGCTAGCTGTAGCAATGAGACAAGAAAAAGAAAATGAAGGAATAAGAACAGGCAATGAAGAAACAAAGCTTTGCAGATAATATGATGGTTTACTTAGATAACTCTAAAAAAATCAATTAAAAAACTAGTTTAAACAATGAACAACTTTAACAAAGTTGCAGGATATAAAATAAACTCACATAAATCATCAGTATTTCTATATATTACCAGCTAAATCCAGCAAGAAGAGGTAGAGATGAAGAAATATTAATTGCTTATATGTAGGCTAAGTCAATAGAATGAAAATGAAAATTTTTATGGAATTTATTTAGTAGAACTTGGGGGAAAATTCATCTGGAAGAACAAAAGGTCAAAATATCAAGGATCTCTATGGAAAAACACATAAAGGATGTTGGCTTAGCAGTACCAGATTTCAAACTACATTACAAAGTGGTAATTATCAAAACTATCTGGTACTGGCTAAGAAAGAAAGCGATGGATTAGTAGAGTAGATTAGGTACACAATACACCGTAGTAAATGACCATTGTAATCTAGAATTTGATGAACCCTAAGATCCAAGCTTTTGTGGCAAGACCTCACTATTTGACAAAAACTGCTAGGAAAGCTACAAAGCAGTTCGGCAGAAACTAGACATAGACCATTATCTCACACTGTATACATCAGATCAAAATGGTAAATAATTTAGACATAAAGGGTGATACCATAAGTAAAGTAGGAGAGCACAGAAAAAAATTACCTGTCAGAGCTACGGATAAGGGAAGATTTTATGACTAAACAAGAGATAGAGAAGATGCTAGGGAACAAAATGGATAATTTTGATTACATGAAATTAAAAAGGGTTTGCACAAACAAAACTGATGCAGCCAAGATTAAAAGGAAAGCAGGAAACTGGGGGGATAATTTATGAGTTTCTCAGATAGAGGCCTCATTCCTCAAATATGTAAGGGACTGAGCCCAATTTAGAACAATAAGAGCTACTTTCCAATTGACAAATAGCCAAAGAATGTGAACAGGTAGTTTTCAGAAGAAGAAATCAAAGCCATCACCAGTCACATGAAAAATAAGAAATGTATATTAAAACAACTCTGAGGCACCACCTCAATCCTGTTATAGTGGCTAACATGACAGAGAAGGAAAATAATAAGTGCTGGAGGAGATGTGGGGGAAAAAAGGGATGCTAATGCATTATAGGTAGAGTTGTGAACTTCTCCAGCCATTCTGGAGAACAATTTGGAACTATGCCAAAAGGCCTGTAAAATTGTACAAGCCCTTTGACCCAGCAATACAACTACTAGGTCTGTATCCCCAAGAGATCATACAAATGGGAAAAGGACCCACATGTACAAAAATATTCATAGCAGCTCTTTTTGTGGTGGCAAAGAATTGGAAATGGAGAGGATGCCCATCCATTGGGGAATGGCTGAGCAAGTTGTGGTATATGAATGTGATGGAATACTATTGTTCCATAAGAAAAGATGAGCAGGTGTATTTCAGAAAAACCTGGGAAGACTTGCGTGAACTGATGCTGAGTGAAGTGAGCAGAACCAAGAGAATGTTGTACACAATAACAGCCACACACATAATGACTAATATTGATGAACTTAACCCCTTCCAGCAATACAAGGATCCAAGACATCTCCAGAGGCCTCGTGATGGAAAATACTATCCACATCCAAAGAAAGAACAATGAAAGTTGAATTGCTACTTTTTTTCTCTTCTGTTGAGTTTTGTTTCCTCTTTCTGATAGTTCCTCCTATTAGTTTTAATTTTTACTTACAATACCACTAATGTGAAAATATGTTTAATAGGAATGTAAATGTAAAGCCTGTATCAGATTGTGCGTCGCCTTCTGGAGGGTGGTGGGGAGGAAGGGGGAGAAAAATTTTAAACTCAAAAGCATATGGAAGTGATTATTGATAAATCAAAATCAATTAATAAAATTTTTAAGAAAAAGAAAAAAAGAGTTAACATTGAAAAAAATAATGTGCCACTTGGGGTCCTTGTTGAACCATCAATGACTACAACTTTTTTTATCCATTCATTCAATCAGTTTCAAAACCATCTATCTATACTATTGCCTATTCCATATCCTGCTATCTTTCCTTAAAAAAAAAAAAACACCAAATGCTGGGCTACCATCCTGGTAAACCATACAAGGGGTATGCTGGAGCCAGCTCATACTGGCTTACTTTATTAAATTTTCAGTGTGAGCATTTACAACTCATAAATTAGCAGACACTACAAATCTGAGCTTAATTTATTCTTTTTTTTCTTGATTTTCTAGACTGAAGAAAGTGATGGAGAAGTATACTTAGGTTACTTCCAAAAATGTACAAAAAAGACTAGAATCAAACTTAGCAGTGTTTGTGCATTTCTAGAGAACTGGTTAATCATTTACTAGCATACCACTGACCAGCTCTGTAGTATTCCCCTAATCCATCAGTTTAGTAACATTGTCAAAACAGGAAGTAAGGTGAGCCTGGCATGACCTGTTCTTCATGTTAATTCTCTGTGATGACTGCTTCCTTTTCTAGAGGTTCACTAACCATCCTTTTAAAAATATGTTCTAGGGGCAGCTAGGTGGTGCAGTAGATAGATCATCAGCCCTGGAGTCAGGAGGACCTGAGTTCAAATTTGTCCTCAGACACTTGACACTTAACTGGCTGTGTCCCTGGGCAAGTCACTTAACCTCATTGCCTATGGGATCCCCACCCCCGACAAAAAAAATAGAATGTGTTCTAGAATTCTGCCAGAAATTGAAGTTAAGCTCACTGGCCTATAATTGGAAGATCCTACTCTCTTTCATTTTCTGAAAATTAGAAATTTGCCCTTTTCCAGTACTATACTACATAACAATTGATAAATCTGAAATGGAAATAACAGATTGAGGAAGATAAAGGGAGGGCACTTTAGGAGTTGGAGAAGGGAAAAAAGGGAGGACAGATTGAGGAAGATAAAGAGAGGGCACTTTAGGAGTTGGAGAAGGGAAAAAAGGGAGGAGAGAACATCCAAAGCAAATATACATGTTTTCCTTTCTTCTCGTCTCTGACCTATCATGCCAAGACAAATTAATGTAGATGGTGAGTTAAATAACTCAGTCAGAAGTGTGTAGGCTGCTAGTACATTATAGGTTACTATCTACTGACATGGCAGTCTTCAAGGTCATTTAGATTTGAAGGGTTACCATCTTCTGTAGTGGGTACTCCTGAAGTTTTCCTTGGACTGTCTTTGTCTAACTTTGACTTCTTCACAACCGATGGTTCTGTATTGAAGAAAAAAAAAACAAAATTCTTAAATGATTCAGCTATCAAGAATGGCAAAGCTATTGGTGTGACATAATGAATTCAAATTATAGAAGCAACATAAAAATACAGCAAAAGATTTGATAACATAGATGAGAAGAATCTGAGAGAAACAAACAATTGAGTCAATTTCTCCAAATATTCCCAACTGTCTCAAAGATTACAGGCAACTGAGAAGTTATGTGGAGAAAGTGATAGTCTTGGAATTAGGAGAACCTGGGTTCAAATCCAGCTTTAGATATGTACTACCTGTGTGACCCTGGACAAGTCATCTAACCTCAGCCAGCCTTAGTTTCCTCATCTGTAAAATGAGGGGTATTGTACTTGATGGCCTCTGAGGTCCCTTTCAGCTCTAAATCTATTAACCAAAGCGAAAAAAATACCATCATAAGCAAAATGGAAATCTCAGGCAGGCAGTATATTAAATACGTGATGCCTTACTCATAATCCATACTTAATAAAAATAATGTTGAATCAGTTGAATAAGTGAGCAGTTTGCTAGTGCTCATGGGTCTTCTGGTCTTTCTGGGGATTAACGGCACAACCAATCCTAATATGATGTGACAGTCTTGAGGCTCTTTAGCACCCTGGCTGCTCTCCTGATACTTTCTAGAATATACCAGCTTATAACAATAGAAATAATAAATAATAATAATAATACCTAAAATTTGTGCACAGTGCTTTGAGATTTGCCAAACTCTACACATATTACATTTGACCTTCACAAGAACCCTATGAAGTAGGTGCTATTATTATTAATTTTTTTGCTTTTTTTTTTTTTTTTGGTGAGGCAGTCAGGGTTAAGTGACTTGCTCAGGGTCACACAGCTAGTAAGTGTTATGTGTCTGAGACCAGATTTGAACTCAGGTCCTCCTGACTCCAAGGCCAGATCTGTATCCACTGTGCTACCTAGCTGCCCCTATTATTATTAATTCTATTTTATAGATGAGGAAACTGAGGCTTAAGAGAGGTTAAGTGAATGGCCCAGGGTCACCCAGCTAGTAAGTATCTAAGTAAGTGGGGGTTCAAACTCATTTCTTCCTGACTCCAAGTCTACCCCCTATTATTCACTATTGGACCTTGCTGTCCCTTTAAAAAATATTAAGAAAGCATTCTGAAAGCATTGTAAGTCTACCAGGTATGACGGTCTACTCCTATAGGCCCACCCTGTCTAGGAAGCCAAGGCTGGCAGATCCCTTGAGCTTAGGAATTTTGCACATCAGTACAGCTCAGCCAATCAGGTGTCCACGGGAAGTCTGGAATTAATATGGGCAACTGCAGGGAGTGGAAGGCCACCAGACTTGGTGAACCACTTCAGATTGAAAATCAGTTCAAAGCACCCACACTGATAACTAGTGAAATTGGGTCTACTGGTAGCCCCTGAACTACCAGCCTTGGGGAAATGGGGACACCCAGTCTTTCCAAAATAATAAAAATAAAAAAGCCTCCTACTCTGTAAGCCTGAAAACTAATCTGATTTGTCTTTCTTCAGCAACTGTGAAACAATGTCTGCTCCCCTCTCCCAGATCAGTCCAGGAAGGAACTCCTTCCCTCAGGTGATTATTGTAGAAGAGCAGTAGCCTCTTCTAAAATGCCCAGAAGAGATTCGAGTTACTATGACTTACCTAAGGGCAATACCTTCTTTCCCCATTTTTTGGAAGGGATTAGGATTTTGATCAGAGGTAGGAAGTCTCCGATTACTATGGGTCACCTGTGACCAACGTGGGGTGGAGGTGGTGGAACTGACAGCCTTTGAGGAGAATGGTTCTCATTTTGTGTCATGAACCCCCATGGCTGTCTGATGAAGGCTATAGACTCTTTCTTGGAATAAAGTTTGTAAATGCAGAAAATAAAATCCCTAACATTACAAAGGAAGCCAATTATACCGGAATGCAGCTATCAAAATATTTTTTAGAACAAGTTTAAAGACCCCAAGTTAAACCCGGTAGAGGGATTGACTAGTTTTAGAAAAGGAATCTCCAAGGATTAAAGAACTATTGTTTTGTTTGACGAAGTAAAATGTTAACTTTTACTTTACCCTAAGGTGTTTAATGTTTTATCATACAGTGAAATTTCTTTGTTTAAGACTCCTATATCTGTAACTTCAAATATGTCTTATGTTAGATATCCAAGGAAGAAGGAGTCTCTACCAGTTTTCTCTTAAGCAGAACACTGCTTGAATTTAAAATAATGATAAACTAATAAAATAGTATCTGGAAGATTTGTGCCTGCCATATAGTAAAGTATTAATATTTTTCTTCAGCAATATGTGCATGTATACTTATAGGCACATTGACATACATATGCATCAATTGACCAGCAAGAATTGACTGACTACTGTGTACCAGGCTCTATACTAGGCACTTGGAGGTAGAAAGATAGAAATGAAACTTTTCCTGCCCTCAAGGAGATTATGAACAGGGGAGACAATATGTACATACAGAAGGATATACGAAATACAAGGTAGTTTGTTGGGACTAAGAAAACCAGTTTGGCTGGCTTGCCGAGCAGCGGAGAGACTTAGGAAAATTTCGTTGGCAGCTGAAGCAATATAGAGGAGGGAATGGAGAGAAAAGCGATTTGAGGCAGGGAGACCAATTAGGAATGTATTGCAATAGTCCAGGCAAGACGTGATGAGGGACCTAACTAAGGCTGTGGCTGGATGGGAAGGGGAAGGATGTGGGAGATGTCGTGGAGGCTGACTCTCCGAGACTTGGCAACTAATTGGATATGTTGGGGAGAGGACTGTGAAGAATCAGGGATAAATCTAAGGATGGGGGACTTGAAATATAGTAATAGTGCCCTTGGCAGAAATAGAGGAGTTGAGAAGTGTGGTTTTGAGCTGTTTTGGATATGCTGTGTCTGAGAAGCTGACAGACAGGGAGTTTTTAACAAGAGGTTCATATGCAAGTATGTACACATATATATAATAAGTATGTATGTATATGTATATATGACACACTTTTAAGTTTAATCTGTATTGTTAACATTTTCTTCATCACTTTCTTAATTCCAGACAATCACAACACAATAAATCAAGCCCTAATTTGGAGGTTTTGCTAATTTTTGAGGCATAAAACATTTAACAATTGGCTCTCAGTGGTCTTAAGCTGGCCTCTGACACATACCTGACTAGAGAACATCCAGTTGGAAATATCCAATAGACAGTAATGTGGGGGCAGCTAGGTGGCGCCATAGTGCACAGAGCACCAGGCTTGGAGTCATCTTCCTGAGTTCAAATCTGGCTGGCCTCAGACACTTACTGGTTGTGTGACCCTGGGCAAGTCACTTAACCCTGCCTGCCTTGGTTTCCTCATCTGTCAAATAAGCTGGAGAAGGAAATAGCAAACCCACTTCACTATCTTTGCCAAGAAAACCCCAAATAAGGTCAGGAAGAGTTAGACACAACAACAGATGTGGAACTAGAGCTCATGAAAGAGATTAGAGCTGCATATACAGACCTTGGAGACATTTGCATAGAGATAATTAAATCCATGGGAACTGACAAGGTTAATGAGAGAACATTTTTCCCAAATACCTGTATATACATAAGGTAGTTAAAATTATTGATATTATATGCAATACTGAAACAGTTCTGATATTTATAGAATATCAGAATATTGAATATATTTATTGACTATAATGAAGAATCAATATAACTCACTTTGTACCAGTTTTGGAAGGCTAGGGACTGTAGAAACATCTTTAGGTTTCATTTTCTTCAATGTTTGCTGGACTTGCCAAGTCTTGGGAGATAATTTCAGTAAAAAACATCCATATTTTATGTACTCATTAAGAAGGAATTCAGTTTTCATAATTTCACTACTCAAAAGAAACATAACAAAGATTACATTAAGCATGAAATAGTATGTAAACACAGTAAGTTAAAGAGAAATCTTGCTTTGCAAAGTTACATTTTCTTAGCCATATGTTGGCATAGACAGGTTGGCATAGACAATCCAATAAGCAGGTATTACATGCCTGCTATATGTGAGGTGAGAGGCTACTGGCATAGAGGAGAAAGAGTTTGCCTTCAAGTAAGGAAGACCTGAGTTCAATTCTCAACAAAAACAAACAGAGAATTACAGATCTTTGGATGAAATTTACGTAATCTTGGGCAAGTGGCTTAATTTCTCACTGCCCCAGGCAACTCTGAGACTATACCTTAAAGAGAAGGGGCCAACTTGCATTGGTAAAGGAGGTTCCTATAGAGGCATCCGTAATATTGATAAAATCAAAAGATCTTTCAAAAAAAACCCCCAAAACAAAACACTTGTGTGAAGGGCCATGTTTTTTCATAGAAACAAACAAAAACAATCACTGCATCAAGCAGTTTAGGGAAGGTAGGTGGCTGTAGTGGATAGAAGGAAGGCCTGACTTCAAATGTGGCCTCAGACATCTACCTACTAGCTGTGTGACCCTGGGCAAGTCACTTAATCTGTTTCCTTTAGTTTCCTCATTTGTAAAAAGGGGATAATAATAGCACCTGCCTCCCCTTATGAAAGTCTGAAGCTTTTTTCCTCTAGGCATGGTACAGGTAAGAGGAGAAAGTTTATTTACCATTCTTTATTTTTAATGTTTATTTTGTGTTTATAAAAAGATGGTAAACACTAGCCTTCATTTGTTGAGGTATACTTACTAGAAATACAGTAGGAGGAAGCAACTGGGAGGGAAACATTCCCAGAGATAAGAAAGAAATAGATATAATACTGAGGTATTTTGCCAGAAGTGCTATCTCTGGCTGGGGGCTCAGAGTTAACAAAAATAAACTGAGAATTACAGATCCCTGGATGCTATTTCTCAGAATGAAGGAGGAGTGTTTACATCTGAAAAATACAACTGGACAATGAGTTAGTAGGGTGAGGAGAAAAATCAAAGTGATTGAACAATCTGATCACATCATCCCTTTAATATTCCTACAAATGGCAGCACATCTGAGTACAGTTTTTACTTTTTGCTTTTATTTTTAAAATATATTTTTATTTCATTAAAGTTTCCTAATTACATTTTTAAAAAATTAACATTCATTTTAATAACTTTTTATTTTTCCTTAATTTCATGTAAAAATAATTTTTAACATTCATTTAAAAAAAAATTTGAGTTTCCAAATTTTCTCCCTCCCTTTCTCCCCACCCCTCTCCCAAAAACAGTAAGTAATCTGATATAGGAAATATATGTGCAATCATAACCTTCATTTAAAATTTTTTTTGCATTTCTCTCCTCCCACCTATTGACAAGGCTAGCAATATGATATTGATTATACATGGAGTTTGAATATGTTTATAAAATATAAAATATGCTTACAAAATGTCTATATTCCTGTTTCAGATCATGTCCTCTAGTGGATTCCTTTGATTCCTTAAAAGTAAAGCAAAGATGCCACTTCCTTCATCCTTTGCTGATGCCCACCCCCACCTACCTTAGTTATTAGTGTTTTCTCCCTCCCAAAATTACTTTGGACGACTTTGTATATAGTTTGTATTTACTTATATGTGTATATATGTCATCGCCCAGGAGAATATGAGCTCTTTGAGGAAAAAGGCTGTCTTGCTTTTGTCTCTGTATTGCCACAAATAGTAACTCACACTTAGAAAAATTTGTGGATTTGAGTTAAACTGGGAAGTTCTGGAAATGCACTCTGTAAGAGGTAGAACTTGAGTTATTAATTTTTAAAGAGTGTGGATTCCAGCAAGATGCCAGGGAGGAATGAGAAATGTTCTGTGGGAGCAACCTGAAATAAACGCCCAGTGATGTTGGTTCTTGGAGCAACATGATAACAATACTTCGTTTGCTCGTATCTGCGACATCACGTTCAGTTGAAGGAGACAGAAAAATGAAAGAATAAAGTAAGGCAGGAATCTATACAAATCAATCAATCAATTGATCAATTAATAAACATTTGTTAAGCATCTACTATGTGCCTGGCACGGTGCTAAGCACTTTGGATATAAGAAGAGGCAAAGACAGTCCTTGTGCTCAAGAAGATCACAATCTAATAGAGGTAAGTGTTTCCAAATATATCCTGTGACTCGGCCCCATATATTTATCCTGTTCCCTATCTTTTTCCTGGGGCAGCAGTGGAGAGAGTACTGGGCCTGGGGTCAGGAAGACCTGAGTTCAAATCCAGCCACTTACTAGCTATGTGACCCTGGGCAAGTCACACCTCCCTCAGTTTCCTCATTTATAAAATGAGCTAGAGAAGGAAATGGCCTACCACTCTAACATCTCTGCCAAGAAAACCTGGAATGGGGTCACGAAGAATCAGACACAACTGAAACAACTGAACAACATTGGTTTTCTACAGATACACAACAACTACAGGTTGAAAGAAAGTTTCCATAAATAACACAGACCATCCAAGTGATTGTGCCATTCGTAGAAATATAGTCAAGGTCTGCAACTTTTAGAGAGGCTGCTAGGTGGCATGTGGATAGAGTGCTGGACATAGAGTCAGTAAGACCAGAGGTGTTTTATTTGCTTGTTTTTGTTTTTTCGTAGTTAATTGATACTTCTTCAGGACACACCATGTCAAAAAAACACCTTTAGCAACAATATTGCACCACAAAAGCACTTTCCATCTTCCAATTTGCTTTTTTTAAACATGTTGTTGGTATGTAGATTAACTTAGTGTTAATTAAATTAACTAATTAATTAAACTAATGAATGAATTAATCAAATTCACTAATGTCCTGAAACCCTGGGTAATGGACTCTTCCGCTTAGTTCCATAATGCAAGCGCTTGGGGTATAGTTCCTGGTAACAAAATGGGGCTGGGGAGGAAAGGAAGGAAAGCCTCACTCTGTTCTGCCAAGCCGATTTGCTCTTGATTTCTGCCATTTTTTTTTTAACATGGCAGACCCATAAGATCTTGGGGGCTGAGAAAACTCTTTTGTGCTTCAGAATTGTACAGTTCTTTGGAGTTTGTTTGGAACATCTCAAATTAATGTGGTTTGAAACGGGGTTGGGGGGGAAGGGATTCAGGTTGTTGATGAGTTAAAGGGGATTTTCTACTCTTAAGTCATAAAGAGGCTCGGGACAAACACCTGATCTTGCTAGCAAGAGGAAATGGAATTTTCAAAAATGTTTATATCGGAAACATGCTACATTCAATTTTGAGGATACAGAAAAATTCTGCCTCTGTAACAAAATACTGCCTCTTACAAAAAAAATTGTTTTAAAGACTTGGTGAAATATTGCAAGGAGAAGCATCTCAATTGTGATAGAGGTGGGAGCGGACTGTGACGCTAATGGCCAAGCCCAACTGTTCTTCCCCAAATTTTGTCATAGTAAAGCCTAGTTACATTTCCAGACATTGCCAAAAGTTAAATCTAACTAGCTAACTAAAAAAAAAAAACTAACTAAAACTAACAAAACTAAACTAAAAAAAGTTTTAGATGACTGAATATGACATTAAAGTCACAGAAAGCAGTCTAGACTCATGACTGTGTCTACTACCAGCGCAGCAAGAACAAACATCCCACTGTGTGCAGGTGCAGGACAATGCACTGGATGTTAGGAGAGATGAAACATTTGGAGAAGACAAGGTCTGTCCCTTCAGGGAGCTTCCAGTCTAGCAAGGGAACAACTCAATCCAACAAAATTTCAGTCAGGTCCCTCCTGTATGCAGGACAGTGTGCTAGGCATTGGGGATATAAAAGTAAAGTGGGAAACTGTCCCTGTCCTCATGGATGTTATAGCGTACTGGAACTAGAAGACGATCAGAGGCTCCAGGACATCCTCACCTTTTTACAACCTGGATTTCCAAGTTAGCCTTCTTTAGCTCCGATGCCATTTGTAGTTTGCCAATGGTTTCTTGTGCTGCTCTAAAAGGCAATAAAAAATAGTTTAGCTTTGGTATTTCAACAAGCAATATACCAAACCTTGCTTTGCAATACAACTTTTTAAAAAATAGGTAATTTAATGATAGAAAGGGTGCTAACATTTTCAAAGCATCTACCGATTTCTGGTCATTTTCACGGAGAAATTCTTCAAAAGCAAAGGCATCTTCTTGAAGTCTTTTTTCCGCATTAAGGAATTGCTGCTCTTGGATTTCCATACATCTCTGAAGCTTCATCATTGTTTTCCTTTGGGTTGCTAAGTTGTACTATGAACACAAAGGTACGAGAGATATTGATGATGTTATTCCAGGTAAATGTCAAACAAATTTATTTCATCTTTTCAATGCTAACCACTAAAATGGAAAACAAAGAACTAAGCAAACTAACGAAAAAGAACTTCCAGAAACTCAGAACACAGGGAAGTGTGATCTTTCAGCAAATCCCTTAATTTCTTTGAGTCTTGATATCTTTATCTGTAAAGGGCAAGAATAAGATTTGATGATAGAGTACTGGTCCTGGATTCAGGAAGGCCTGAGTTCAAATCTGACCCAGACACTTGACACTTACTAGCTGTGTGACCCTAGGCAAGTCACTTCACCCCATTGCTTCCCCCACAAAAAAGAAAAAAAGAATAAGATTTGATGATCTTTTAGGTAGCATCCAGTTATAATAATACTGATTTTACAGATGAGGAGACTGAGCCTGAGAGTGGTTTAGTGATTTGCCTGGGGTCAAACACCTGATAAGTATCAGAGGTGGCCTTTGAACTCAGGCTTTCCTGACTCCCAGTCCAGCGCTCTATCCACTGCATCACCTAGAGAGAAGACACATTGTTTGAGTCCAATTTTGAGTAGGAGGTTTTCAGCAGATTCAGAGCAGGCTACTAGGATGGCAAAATGCAGCTTTGGTTAGAATATCTTTTTTCTTCATTACTAACAGCCCGCTTGCATTTCTAGGAGTCTTCAGCTGTGGCTAGGAACTCTACAGCATTAAAAAAATTATATGATGACAAAATCATAATAAAAATGTGTGTACAGTCATTTAAATTTTTTTAAAGTTATAGTTATAAACTACATGCATACTTTTAAAATAATCATGCATGCCAATTCTCAATAAGTAGTGCATTTTAATGCACTTTCTGAACATCGATAAAATGAAATAGAGTACTATGTTTTATAACATTCATTTGATTGAGGCAATAGCTTTCATTTTCATCCTAACATTTCCAGAGAGTAGGAATTCCACTCTCTCATCAAAAGGAAGATGGTATATAATGACACTTCCATTGCAGGGGCCCATTTTCCCAAAGAAAAACTTCCCAAAAGAAGGGGCCTTCTTTCTATGAGCAGTAGACTATGGTTCCTGATAATGTTGCCTAATCAGCTGTCATTGAGACAACACAGAATATATACCAGGATTTTTTGGTGGTCAGTGGCCTCGGGAAATCTCACTAAGAGATTTCACTCCACTTTAGCTTTAAGAGAGATGTCTTCCAACACTTCAACATTTAGGGCATCATTGTCAAAGGTGAAGGAAATTGATAATAGAAATGGGTAGAAGTGTAAATAGACAAGTATGCAGGTAGGCAGGTTAAAGACCGTATCCCAACACAAGGAATAACAATTACTAAATTTCAAGTTCCTGTTTATATTTCCATTGTGAAGGTTTATTGTATGTCAAATCTTGTATGTTGATTGTAGCTGGCATGAAAGTGTTGACTGAGTCTGGGTCCCCATTGTGAAACATATGTTGTGTGAAATTTAAACATAGTTATGAAAATCAAGCACATTTTCATTTACTCCGGGCACTAATGACTCTAATCAAGACAGAACATCTTACTTAAACCCCCCAAAACGATTATAAACAAGATTATAGAAATGTATACAGGATATACTTGCTGAATTTACTCATTATTCCTCCCTATTGCCATATTAGCCACTATTTTGTCTTCAGTTCTGTTATATCTATAATCATATAAATATACACACTATTCATAAAGATACATATATATACATACACAAAATACATATATATATATATATATATATATATATACACACACATATGTAGACATGAAACAGTCCTGCTTTTTCTTTGTATGGTTTTGCTCCAAATATAAGTTCTAGGTCCAGGATAAAAGCTATATCTATTACTATATATGACCTAAACTGGAATAATTACAGGATATATAATGATAGGATAGCTAGGTGGGGCAGTAGATAAGAGTGCTGTTCCTAGAATCAGGAAGTCCCAAGCTGTGTGACTCTGGGAAAGTCACTTAACCCTATTTACCTCAGTTTCTTCATCTATAAAATGAGCGGAGAAGGAAAGGGCAAACCACTCCAGTATCTTTGCCAAAAACACACCAGATGGTGTCATGAAGAGTCAGACATGACTGAAACAACTGAACAACAAAGATACAATTATAGAGCATGTAGTGGTTTCTCTATTCTTTATCTGGACCATCAGACAGGAGTCCCTTCTAGAAGAATTAATAGAGAATGAGAACTCAAAATCAGTTATACTCTAGACATCTTTCCACATTAGCAGCAACTTAGTATGGTTCCCCTCTGGCCTGCTGGGTCCCCCAAATAGTTAATTTTCCAGTATGGGGACCTTTTTAATTTCAAAAAATTCTTCATGCTGCACAACAGTACTTGTATTCCTAGCATCCATTGATTGAAAAAATACATTCTGATTAAAAAGCTATAAATTCAGTGACCTTTTAAGTGAGTTTGTGTTTGATTACAATAGCATCGACATGCATTCAAGTTTACATAAGTTATATTTGCTTATCTATTCTACTGAGTCATTTAATAAAATGGCTGCTGCTTTTTTTTTTTTTTGCAGCGAAGCCTCCTCAGATTCCTTGCAATAACTCTTATGGGTCAATAGCTCATGGGTTGGCAATGGTTACATTAGCATATGAAAAGAGCTCATATAAGTTAGTGACAGAGCACATTGCCTGGCCTATAGTAAACATTATGTAAAGGTGAGTTACTATTACTTATTTTGAGCAAAATGGCGAACCCCTCCAGTATCTTTGCCAAGAAAACCTCATGGACAGTATGGTCTACAGAGTCACAAAGAGTTGTGACCAACAATTTTGAGCAAAGTGACTACAAATTCATTAAACGCAAAATGCTTTGAAAACACCCATTAGCAATGCTATTAAATAGTTCTACTCTATGCTTGTAGGAAAAATACATTTCATTCATTACCTCCAGAACAAACCTTTCTCTTTGATGGCGAATAAATTCTTGTTTGGACTTTCTTGGGCCTGTGCTTCCTTTTAAGAGAATTGAAACACATTTAGCTTGAGGTCAGTATCAGTCCAAGTTAATCAGCACTAATTTTGGATTAAATGGTACCATGACGACGATTAATATATACTCAGTGCACCTAATATGCCATACTTGCATGTATCGAAGTGTTCACTAAACGATCTTTGAGGTCAGGTCCCTTCCAGCGTTAATTTTTGGATCTTTAAATAAGCCAGGTTGAGTTTTTGTACTCACCATCATGTAAATAGTAAACAGGGAAGAAAAATAATTAATTTAAACTGTTCTAGATGGCTCCCAGCTGTCACTAAGAGAATGCATTACACTGGGCTACATAATAGGTACTTATCTGACTCTATCGCAATTCAATGAATCTGGTCCAAAAAACTGTTTATTAAGCATCTTCTCTATTCCATGCCTTGGACAGCTGGGATGGCAGAAAGACTCAACTTCTGAGTCTGAATCTGGCCTCAGACACTTACTATGTGACCTTGGGCAAGGCACATAGCTTTGTTTGCCTCAGTTTCCTCATCTGTCAAATAAGCTGCAGAAGGAAATGGCAAACCATTCCGATATCTTTGCCAAGAAAACCCCCAATGGGGTCATGAAGAGTTGGACACAACTGAAAAACCAATGGAAAATTTACACCTCACAAGTCATCAGGGTTTGATTTATTGTTTTGCCGATTGTCCAGATCACAGGTCAGCAAACTATTGCCAGAAGCCAAAGGCCATTGTGTGCTGATCCCTGGGCTAGACTTCAGAAAGTGACGGAGAAAATGTTAATAACACAACTTCAACTTCAAAGTGTGTCATGCATTCATTAAGTCTCCCTCCCCCCACTTCATAAACATTTAGCAGCCTATAGCTGGCCATAATTAAGTTACTGCTTTAATTAAAGGCATATAACACAAACACTGGGTGATTTGTACTCACTTTCTATGAAGCTGGGGATGATGGCAGAATCCAGACCGATTTCACAAGATGCCGTTTCAGCGGGAATATTTATTTCTCTCAGATGTGATCGATTCTTCATTCTGGATGAAAAAGTAGTTTTTTCATGCACTTTCTTACCACGGTTCACAATTTTTTCCTGCACATATAGAAGATTAAATAAGATTTTCCAGCATAATGCATTATTGTTTGGTCCAACAGTAATGGGACATATATCCCTGGAATGTATTCTTTGCTGTTAATCCACGAAGCAGACAGTAAATTCTTTGCAAATTACATAAATTGTACAGAATGGTACCAGTGAAAGAATTGGATTTGGAGTCAGAGAACCTGGCTATGACAAGTTCAACAATAGCTGTGTGGTCTTGGGCAAGTCACTGGGCCTTAGTTTCCTCATGTGTAAAGTAGGGCTACCTTTTAGCTCTAAGGTTCTATTATTCTTCTTTGATATCTTCATAATTGGCATTATAGCCTTTGCTTCCAATTAAAAGCTAAGTAAAGGAGTAGCTACAGCACTAGCCTCAGAGTCAGAAGGACCTGAGTTTAAATCCGCCCTCAGGCACATAACACTTATTAGCTGTGTGACCCTGGGCAAGTCACTTAACCCCGATTGCCTCACCCCAAAAAAAAACAAACAAAAAAGCTGAGTAAAGTTGTAAATGAAAACCTTAAATTTTGTGAAGACTGGATGGAAGGAGAGAGTGAGAGAGAGAGAGAGAGAGAGAGAGAGAGGAAGGAGATGAGAGAGAGGAGAAGAAGGAAGAGAAAGAGAAGGGAGAGGTAATGATGGAAAGAAAGAGGAGGAGAGAGAAGGGAGGGAAGGAAGCTACTATTATGATTTTATCCTCCAAAGTCTTGTACTACCCAAGAAGTCGTATTAAGAAGCTTTGGCTTTGCTGGGGAGATGAAAGAATAAAAGAAAATGCACCTCTGGGTTATAGGATTTAGAGTAGAAGGGAACTTTAGCATCCATCCCCCTCATACGCTGAGATTCATGCTCCATACCCAGTGAAATTACAGATCTGATGCCAAAAAAGGCAACCTCTTATATCCAAGTATTGAAAAAACCCCACAGATCTTCATAGAATTTCAATGGATGGAATGGAAAAGTATTTATCAAATGCCATCTGTGTCCCAGGTGGCACTGGGCTCCGTCCTTGGATTCAGGAAGACCTGAGTTCAGACCCAGCTTCAGACACTTACTAGCTGCATGACCCTGGGCAGGTCAATTCACCCTGTTTGACTCAGTTTCCTCATCTGTCAAACACGCTGGAGAAGGAAATGGAAAATCACTCCAGTGTTTTTGCCAAGGAAACCCCAATGGGGTCACGAAGAATTAGATATGACTGAAACAATGAGGACAGCTATGTGCCAAGCACCAAATTAAGCGGTAGGAGTACAAAGAAAAAAAAAAACCCAACATCTCTGCCCTGAAAGAGCTTACATTTGACTGGGGAAAATTACTTTGTATTTACTCATCCGTTATATTTCCCTTAGCAGAATTTTAGAATGAGGGTAGCCCCTATGTTATTGTTATTTGGGAAATCTCTAGCTAAGGCTGGGAACACCTTCCTAAAGTAATAGAAAACACCCTGTGATGGGGCAGCAAAGAATAGAGCACTGGCCCTGGAGTCCGGAGAACCTGAATTCTAATCCGACCTCAGACGCTTGACACTTATTAGCTGTGTGACCCTGGACAAGTCACTTAACCCCAACTGACTCACCAAAACCATACCAACAAACCCCCCCAAACTAAGGAAATACCCTGTGAGCATCTAGCACAATACCTGGCTGACACACAGTAGGTGCTGAGTGAATGTCTCCTATTGCCTCGGCTTGCTTCAGGGGAGGCCTAGCCAATGCACCAGAAGCCTTCTGGGTCTCTTAGGGTCCTGAGGGTTCCAGTGCGCCACTGCAGCTCCTCAGCCCACCCTTCCTTGAGCTTTAATATTGGGTCACACTCCCCCATTAGAATGCATGCTCCCTCAGGGAAGGGACTCTGCTTTTTGTATTCATTTCCAGGGCCTACCTCAGTGCTTCACCCTTTAATAAATGCTTTTTAAAATACTAAATAAACAAATTAATAATTAACAAAATATAAATAATAAATAAAATAAATGAACAAGTGCTTTTTTAATTCCTTCGTTCATAATACAACATATGAGAAACATATGTGAAGGCACAAAAGCCTTCACAGGAGATGACCTTCTGGTACTGATTTGACTAACGACGGTCATAGCTGGAAACACTTACTCTTTCTTTTTCTTCTAGTTCTTTTTTCTTGAAAAGAAACATATCTTCGAAATAATATGTATATGGCGTGTTTTTTTCACAGGTGGATTTACGTCCATTTTCTGTCAGAGGAAAGGAAAATTGTTTTCAGGGTCACTTTTATAAAAATGTGCAGCATAATTTAGTGGTTATTCAATCTAGAGTTCGTAAGACACAATTCTGAGAACGGCAAGTCGTTGAAGTTTGTCTTCCGTGCCTGGCCGTCCTTGGTTCCTTAGCGGAACAAAATTGAATAAACATTTATTAAGCACCTACTATGTGCCAGGTACTGTGCCAAGCACTTTACAGATATTATCTAATTTGATCCTCACAACCACCCTGGGAGATAGGTGATGGTTATTATCCCCCTTTTATAGTTGAGGAAGCTAAGGTAGATAGAAGTTAAGTGACTTGCCCAGGGCTACACAGCTATTAAGTGTCTGAGGCTGGATTTGAACTCCGGTCTTCCTGACTCCAGACCCAGGGCTCTATCCCCTGTACTATCAGCTGCTTTTGTGGCTGCCTGTGGTCCAGTTGTGTCCTTCTCCCTGGGGTCCTGGTCAGCTCTAGCTGATGCTCTAGCCCTTTCCCAGCTTCTCTTCCTCCAACCCAAACTTAAAGTCCATCCACCAACCAGAGAGCAGTATGGTCTAGCGGAAAGAGTGGAAGACCAGAGGTCGAGACCGGTGGAGCAGTTTTCATACATTTCCACCAGGACTCGCTGCTTTCCTGATAAATAAAACATGGAGGAAAAAAAAATTTTAATGGCTCTTCAGTTTTGACCCAAGGTAAAAGGCTACAGCTATGACAGAATGATAAGATTATAGCTTTGGAGCTGGAGAATCATCATCCCAACTCTTTTTTCAGATGAAGAAACTGAGGGCCAGAGAAATGAAATGATTTACTAAACATTATTTTCTTCCCCACTTAAACATTTAGAGGAGACAGATATCCTTAAAATGTATTTTAGCTATGAGTCACTACTAAGGGAAACACTTTCAGGGCATTAATGATCATAGGATTATAGATTTTTGGCTGAAAGAGACTTCAGAGTCCAGCCCCATCATTTTTACAGATAAGGAAACTGAGGCTGATCAAGATGAAGTGATTTGCTCAAGGTCACACAGTTAGTGTCTGAGGCAGGTTTTAATCCTAGGTGTTCCTGATTCCAAGTTAAGTGCCCTTTCCACTATGCCATGCTGCCCTTTAAAAACATACAAATGGTTCATTTTTCCAGCATTTGTCTAAGGCAGGGGTGGGGAATAACATTACTGAAAAATCAGATCTTGCAATGAATTGTTAACTTGGAGTCCTTATTTCCTTAGCCTGTTAGTATCCATTCCCCAATGCTTTTTTTGGGAAGCAATCAGGGTTAAGTGACTTGCCCAGGGTCACACAGCTAGTAAGTATCTGAGGCCAAGATTTGAACTCTGGTCCTCCCAATTCTAGGGCTGGTGCTCTATCCACTGCACCATCTAGCTGCCCTGTTTCCCAGCACTTTTAAAATCACATTATTCATCTATTACACCCTTCATCCCCACAAAAGGCAACTCCAGTGGCCCTCCCCCTTTCCTAAGTACTCCCATAATCACAAACCTGATGGTCTCTTCTACCAGACTAGAAGCGGCATTTTCTGGAAAATAAGTATTTCTACTGGGGATAATTCTAGCCCTAAGGTTGCTCTCTCCCCAGTTTGGAGGGAGCATAGTAAATTCTCAGACTTCAGTTTACCTCCCCATTGAGAAGGGCAAAGAGAGAATTCTCAAACCCTTGATTTTGGCAGTGGTCAGATAAGGGCTGGACCTTTGATTTCACTGAGAAAGGGAGCTCTCAGATGGGGAAACTCCCTCTACCAATGAAGGTTGGCACCGTCTCTGCAATTTAAAGTCTTAAGAGAATTGCTAGAACACTAAGAACTTTGGCGGTTCATCCAGAGTCATAAAGACAGGATGCATTAAAGACAAGATTCTTCTTTAGGCAGAGGCATCGAGTGCCTGTATGGATACAGTGCTGGGTTTGGAGTTAGGAAGACTTGAGTTCAAATCCAGCCTCAGACACTTAGTAGCTGTGTTACCCTGGGCAAGTCACTTCCCCAATCTCTGCCTCAGTTTCCTCATTTGTAAAATGGGGATAATAATAGCAGCTACCTACAAAATAGCCGGGTTACTATGAGCATCAAATGAGATCGTATTTGTAAAGCTCTTAGTACAGTGCCTGGCACACAGTAGGTACTTTAATGAATATTTATTTCTTTCCTTCTTTACTCCAAGGCAAGCTCTATGCCAAGCTGACTCTGTATTTCCTCATTATCATGAATCATTAAATTTCATGAGTTTGAAAAGGGGAAGAACATGAATTTTGCTTCGCCTCCTGATTTTCCAGTTGGTTTGCTTGATTTTAGTGGAGGTGAGATATCTTCTACCCAACTTCTTAAATTCTAAACTATGCATTGGTAAAAACAAGTCTTAAATTAGTGCACAGCCAGGAAGGTAACATTAACTTTAACAGAGGCCAGGCTCCGCTTCAATTTTGTCTTTCTAACCCAGTCACCTAATTCAGTGCCTGGCACAGCATAAGTACTTAATGTTTTTCATTAACCATTTAATTCATTAACTCATTCATTTGTGGCTTTTTCTCCTTGGCACTTAGCACTCTGCCTGCCACTGAGTAGACAGCCACTCCAGAAAATCTTTCTACGGATGACCGCGAAATGAATAAAATACCTTCTTTCTCTCTAGCAGAGGTGGTTGATCTGATGGGCACTAAGTGTGTTGACATGATGACTTCTTCTCCCCCTGTCAAGAGAATAATGATAATTAGTAATAGTAGCAAACGTTTATAAAGCACCTACTATGTGCCGGGGCACTGTGCTAAGCATTTTACAATTTTTATCTCATTAAATCCTCACAACCACCAGTTGAGTTAGTTGCTATTATTATCCCTATTTTACAGACAGGAAACTGAGGCAAAGAGAGGTTTAGTGACTTGCCCAGTGTCACACAGAGAGTAGAAGACACTGACATTTACCACTGAAATATAAAGAAGCCCAAGAGACAGTCTGGTATCATAGAGAGCCAACCTCAGAGCAAAAATATCCAGGTTCAAATGCTTCCCCTGACACCTCCTGGTTGGGTCAACTTGGGCAATTTATTGAATTTCCCTGGGCTCTAGCCACCCTCTGAGATGGTCAGTTGGTGAGAAGGTGCCAACTTGCATTGGTAGAGTTATTTCATTGGGGAGTTTCCTGTGTTGGTGAAATAACAGGACTGGTCCCCATCCCTAAAGAAGCCCCATTTCAAGCATCAGCCCGTCGTGGCTTTGAATGAGCCAAGTGAAGCCTGAGTGGCCAAAGAGGCCCAGAAGGGGATACATTGTCCTGCCGTTACCTGAATAGGTGTGCGACATTCTGAATGTTCCCATCCTGACTGCCTCGATTCCTAGGATGCCTGGTCTGGGTGGTAACTCCCTCTGTCTGTGCAGAATGCAACCCTCTCTACTTCCTACGTTTAATAAATTGTCTAGGCCAAAGAAACCCATCGGTTAGTAGCTGTCAGGTGACTAGTATGAAAATTTTGCAGGGGGCCATAAAAATCTCCCAGTAAGGAAACTTCCTTTAACAGAGGAACATCCCTGCTAGATTGTAAGATCCTCAAGGGCAGAGGCTGTCTTTTGCATAGTGCCTGACACATAGTAGGCACTTAATAAATGCTTGTTGATTGGCTCAATCAATGCAGATTGGAATCTCTCCTGCTTACAGTCTTTAGAGTTTGGGGGCACTGAGAGGTTAAGGCTCCCACAGCCAGGATTTGCCAGAGACATTTGAACCCAGGTCTTTGACTCAGAAGCCAGCTCCCTATACGCTACAATGCACTGCTACTTAAGCAAATGTATGGGGTCTATAATCCAGAGCCTCTGTCAGAGGTAGGTAAGAAGTTTAGTCACAACCCACAGGCAGATTTGGAAGTGATTCAAATTAATTCATTTCAAGTTAGAGCCACCCTAATGGAAGACCATTTTGGTAGTTGGGTGACAGACTATAGAAATGAGAGAATGGAGACCATCTCTGAACTAAGTTGATGGCTGGGTGAATACAGTGCAAACTGATCCAGCCAGCATTTAATCACATGTGTGTATAATATACAGTAGGCCACCAAGATACAAAGAGCCCCCACCCTCAAGGATCTTACCTTCTACTGGGGATACAACACATTCATAGATAAGTAAATACAACAATTCAGGGGCACGTTGAGAGCACTAAACAAAATGAGAATCAGGAAAGACTTCCTGTAGGAGGCAGTGCCTGAGCTAAGTCTTGAAGGGAGCTGGGGCTGCCAAAAGGTGTAGGAGAGGAGGGAGTTCATTCCAGGCAAAGGACAGAGGTGGATGGAATGCTGTGTCTAGGGAACATTAAGTTGATCTGTTTGCTTGGAACACTGTCCAATGGGTAAGAGGGAATAAAAGAAAATAATTCTGGGAAGGTAGGCTGAAGCTAGATTGGGAAGGGCTTTGAAGACCAAGAGAATAACTGCTTTTCTCTGTTACAAGGGAGGACTCCTTGAGTGTTGGGGTAGAGCTGGAAAGCATCTTGGAGGCCTTCATTTTAGAGAGGAGGAAACTGAGGAATGTTAAGTGATTTGCCCAAGGTCTGAGGCAGAATTTGAACTAAGGGCCTCATGAGTTAAAATGAATTGCCATCAGGCATATCCTGGACATGATTCTACTACAAGTGGACAAGAACAGTTGGTGACCATTTGTCAGGCCAGTGAAACTCTGGTATTTGCATTTCATTGACTTAGGGTTTAAAGATGAGGCTTCTCAAAATTTTATAACTCTTTCCTCCATTAATGATCTTATTTTTCTCCTTTCCTCCCTCATCGGGTCTTACCATTTTCTCTTTCCATCCTTTCTTTCTTAAAGAGCCCCCTTGCCGTAAGCAAAGACTCTAAAATTGCAGCCTTTTAAACTCAATTGAAATCCAAAGCAGAGACTTGTTTTCCTGCTAATTCTCCAATATTTTCTAAGGCTTGCCAATGGAATTTGTGAGACAAACGGCCCCATGAAGTAACACTTCGGTGACAGTGAGGCCAAGGATAAGGAAGGTGAAGAAAGAAAGGACAGAAGTTGCCATTGGCAGAGACTACCTGGGCAGGGCCAATTCGATGTACTCACACAGGAGAAGGGTTAATCCAGGAAGTGCTTTTGGTGAGTGGAATCAAAATCAGGTGCCCTTCACATGCTGCCTCTGTAATAAGAATTTTCAAAAAGGGAAACCACTGTCAGATGGGGATTTCAACTAGTTGTAGCTAACAATACCATTTGGTTGACCCAGGCTCTTCAAGGCTTTGATTTAGGGTGGGAAGGAACTTGGAGGCCATCCAGCCTAAAACCACGCATTTTACAGACAAGTTAACTGAGGCCTAGAGGGGTTCAATGACTTGTCTAAGGTCATACAGCTAGTTTGTGGCAGCACTGGTATTTGAACATAGAATCAAGCCATTCCTGGGCCAACCCCTCCCCCCAACCTTCCCCTTCAAATTCCAGTTTAAGAACTCTAGTAACTTTTTGAGACTTGACAAATAACAGATTTGGGGAGGTTTTTCAGCAGCCTATATAATTTCCTCAAATACAGATCAAGTGATGAAAAATATATTGCCTGGGATAAGGGAGCTTTGAAACAATGTTCATGTTGGAGTCAGAAGACGACCTGGGTTCCAGTCTTGCCTCCAATAAGCCTTGGACAAATCAGAGAACTTCTCTCAGCCTCCATTTACTTCTCTGTAAAATGGGGGAACAGAGGAGGAATCTTATCTGTAGCATACATGAGATTATATTGGTACCACACTGTAAATTATAGCGCATTCTATTAATGCCAAGTATTATAAAGTATTACTAAATCGGGCCCTTTTAAGGCATTTGTGGGGCCGAATTTTAGTCTGCGTGGACTTTTTAGTGGGTTAGTCTCAAACAGGAAAGGCAAACCCTGCCCAAAAAGCAAAAAACAAAACCAAACCCCGAGGTCAAGAGGAGGGAAGTGGGAGGAGAGGAGAGTTGTCCCCTAGCTCTCTGGGCATTGACAAGCCTAGATTTCAACACGGGAGGGAAAGGTTGGCTTCAGAAGCGATGAGGGGCGCCAGAGAAAGGCCATGCTGGGTGATTATTTTCTGAATAGACTTTTCTCCAGCCTCCACCTCCAGCTGGGTCTATGCAGCAGGTGGATGGGTGTCTGCGATGCCTAAGAGCGAAAGCGGGGCTGAAGTAGGAAAGCCTGGGGCTAACGGTCTCCCGCTGCAGGAAGGCGGGGAGCATCCAGGTGGCCGCATTCCTGGGGGGAGTCCGTGAGACCCAGGCCAGTTTCAGTCCAATTCCCTTCCCCTCCGCACCTGCACCTGTACCTGCCCTGGGAGTCCTGGGTGAGGGCTGGAAGTCTAGCCGCTCAACAGCTGGATACGTTGCGCGGCCCCTCCCTTCCTCGCGAGCCCGCGAGGCCCGCCCCCACGCGCCGGTCCCTTCCCTCCCCCACGGATCGTGGCACTTAGAGCCCTAAGCAACACTAGGGAACAGCTAGAGATTGTAATGGCAGCTAGATGATGTAGTGGATAGAGCTCAGGGCATAGAGACAGGAAGATCTGAGTTCAAATTCGACCCCAAACACTAGCTGTGTGACCCTGGGCAAGTCACTTAACCCCTATTTGCCTCAGTTCTTCCTCTGTAAAATGGGACACACTGGAGAAAGAAATGGCAAACCATTCTAGCGTCTTTGCCAAGAAAACCCCACGGACTTTATGAGGCATCAGATACTACCGAACGACTGAATAAACAAGGGCACTAAGTGGCAATAAGTAGAATTCGCACCCAGGTCCTTTAAGCCAAGGCGTGTTTCATTTTAGCAAGCTGCCCCTATCTTCCAGCCGCTTTATTCCACTCCTCCCCCACTCCCCCCATTCTATATAGACAGAGTTTGAGGCGCTGAGTGACTGGCCCATGGCAGAGGCAGGATTAAACCCACCAGAGCACCAGGATTCGAATCCCACTTCCGATATGCATTGCCTGTGTGCCTTTGGGCAAATCATTTAACCCTCCCTGGGCCTCAACCACCTTTAAAAGAGGGGTTGGGACTAGAAGGCTTCTGAGGTCCCTTCCAGCTCTAAACCTGTGACCTTAGCGTCCTGGAGGCAGCTACCGTCTCAGTAGGTAGAGTGCTGGGCCCCAGAGCAGGAAAACCAGAGTTCAGATCTAGCCTCAAACACTGAACTAGCTATGCAATCCTAGCCAGTTCCATAACGGCTGCCTGCCTCAGTTTTCTTGTCTGTGAAATGGGGACAAGCACCTACTCCCTCAGGGTTGTTGTAAGGATAAAATGAGATAATGTTCCTAAAGTGCTTTCTAAAACTTAAATTTAAACTATATGATATGTAAGTATAAAATATAGTTTTAACATATAATTATAAACTATGTAAATGCTAGCTATTAACTTATGAAAGTGCCCTCCACATGTAAGGGGAGTTGTCGCTTCTCACTCTCCATCTCTGCTCCTGTGACTTCAAGTCCGGGGGACCTCTACTGTAACATAATGCCTTTTCTTTTCAGTTCCTATACCCTCCTTTACTAAGATTGGGTCCTTTCCCCTAGGTAAGACTCCCCCAGGAATTAAGCACCTACTTTCTATATCTATATCTATATCTATATCTATATCTATATCTATATCTATATCTATATCTATATCTATATCTATATCTATATCTATATCTATATCTATATCTATATCTATGTCTATGTCTATGTCTATGTCTATGTCTATGTCTATGTCTATGTCTATGTCTATGTCTATCTATATCTATATCTATATCTATATCTATCTATATCTAACCACCTATATCTAGGTGGTTAGAGCAAACCTGAGTTCAAATCTCAGACACTTACCAGCTATGTGACCCTGGGCAAGTCACTTAACCTGTTTGCCTCAGTTTCCTTATCTGTAAAATGGGGATAATAATAGCACCTGCCTCCCACAGTTGTGAGAATCAAAAGAGATAGTAATTGTAAAGTGCCTGGCACATAATAAGTGCTATATAAATGTTAGCTATTATTATTATTACCATTTCTGAAATCCTTTTTTTCCGGTCTTTTCCTCCTCATCTCACCAGAACCCTCAGTTTCTCCCTCTTGTTCTTTCGATCTGGGTCCTTACTGCCTACTTTCTGTCCCCTCTGTCTAGACTTGCCTAGACCCTCCCAGATCCTTTCACATTCCCCTTACTTCTCTTTCCTCCCTTCCTCTGTCTATAATGGTGTCTGTTCACCTATTCTTTTAAAACTTACCAATTCTTCTCCTTAGTTTTCAATGAAATAAATGCTCCCCAGGAAAACTCCTCCTCTCTGCTCAGCGGAGGATAGGAATGTTGGATGCCATACTGACATATATGCCATACTGACTAGTTTGCAAAAACTAGAGTCAGTAAGACCTGAGTTCAAGTCCATCTCTGACCCTTAGGAGCTGTGAGACCTTGGACAAGTCATTTCATTTTTTGGAGCCTCTGGCAATTTTAATACTAAAAGTCAGAATGATTTTATTCAAATGTTAGGTACCTGCTACGTGAGTAAGCAGCTAGATGGCTCAGTAGCTAGAGCACTGGGTCTAGAGTAAGGAGACTAGGAGTTCAACTCCAGCCTCAGACACTAGTTGTGTGCGAAGCTGGTCCCTTAACCTTTGTTTTCCTTAAGAAGGACATGCCAAACCACTGCAGCATATTTACCAAGTAAACACCACGGAAGAATCTGACAAGTGTGAAAACAACTGAATAACAAAAACCGGTTGATCAGATTTTGAGCGCCGTAAACTAACTTTTATTTATTTTTTCTTATTTAGTATTTTATTCTTCCTCAGTTATACGCAAAAAACAATTTTTAACATTCGTTTTAAACACTTTGTAAACTAGCTTTTAAAAGGTAAATTGAAAGCTCTTCCTATGCCACACACAGTGAAAACTGACCCCTTGGACTCTGGAACGGACACTCTCCCCCATGCCGTCCCCAGAGCTGTAGGTCCGGCCAACCTCGGCGACTGCTCCTCCCCTGCCCCCGGCCCGCTGCCGTCACTGCCCTCCCTCCTCTGTCCCCAGCTCCCACTTCCCCAGGCCCGAACCTCTGCAGCCACCCGCCACGGGAAAATGAGCGAGGTGCAGAGGCTCCTGCTGGAGAATGCGCAGCAAGTGGTGTTGGTCTGCGCCCAGGGCGAGCCCTATCTGGTGGGGGAAGCGATGCGGAGCCTGGCAGTCTTGGAGAATGCCAGCCTGGTGGTGGGCAGGTAGGTCAGCCCTCCCGAGCAGCCCCTCTGTTCCGACTGGGTGAGACTGGCCTTAGGTGGGGTAGGGGGCGGCTGGACTTGGGTGTCAGAGAGCCTGGGTTCAGATTCTGCCCACATAATATTGAATGTTATTTAATCTTTAGCACTCTGATCTTAAAAAATGAGGTGCTTGGATCAGGTGACCATTAAGATTCTTAGATGCTTGTTGACAGACAGAATGACTTCTCACCCTGAGTCACTGATGCCCTTTGGGCTCCAAATCCTGTGTGGGTGACATGGGTCTATATGCCGTTATCTGAGGGGAACAGGGAGCCCACAACCTTCCCATGGGTATTTGCCAACTTTTACTTTTTCTTACAGTAGCTGTTCAAAAGGGTCTGGGGAGGGAAGGGGAGTTCCTGATCTTCTTCCCTTAGAGGTTGCCAAAGTACTTAGCCCTTTAGGCTTCATCAGTATGATCACATTTGATCTCACAACCCTGGAAGGTAGATATCATCATCATCATCACCATCATCATCATCATCTTCATCATCATTGTAGGCAATTGGGGTTGACATCATGCTGGGGTCACACAGCTAGTAAGTGTCAAGTGTTTGGTCTGAGACCGGATTTGAACTCAGGTCCTCCTGACTCCAGAACCAGTGCCCTATCCGCTGCACCACCTAGCTGCCCCCATTTATATTATTATCCTTATTTTACAGATGAGGTGGATGCTGTCATTATTATAGGATTCGGCAGGTGCTGTTATCATTATCTTTATTTTACAGATGAGGAAACTGAGGCAGACAGCTTAGGTGACTTGCCCAGAGTCAGCCAGCCAGCAAGTGCCTGAGGCAGGACTTGAACTCAGGTCTTGATCCAGCACTCTAGCTTCTGTTCCACCTAGCTGATAGTTAAAACAATTTCATAGCACTAGAATTGTAAGGGACCTTAGAGGTCACCTAATCCAACTATCCCATTTTACAGATGAGGAAACTGAGGCACAGAAGTTCAGTGATTTACCCCAAGTCACACATAATCAGCCTAGCTAGGATTCAGATTTAACTCCAGGACCAGCATTATTTCCACGACTATTATTCCAAATAGAAACAGTCTAGTAAAATGAATGCATTCAGTTGAAATTCTGTGAACCAACAGTGGGTTAGGAGGTCAGGCTGGCACAGCAGAAAGGGTCCTGAATCTGTGGTCAAAGAATCTGGGTTCAAATTCTGCCAGCAGTGCTCTGTGGGTGTAGCTACAAGGGCCTGCCACAAACACTTGATAACCATGTAAGTGACATAAGCTCCCTCGACCTCAGTTTCCTCATCCTGGAAAATGAAAAAATGGGATGCTGAAGTCACTTCCTGCTGTTTACCTGTGATCTGATAGAAACTGTTTCCTAATCTAGATGACCCAGTGGGTATTATTAAAATGACTAATCCAGCAAATGTTTTATCAAAACATGGATGGGAAGTGATTATGAGGGTTTCCCAAGGTAGTTCACTAATTTCCATCTCTGGTTAGAGGTTCCTCACTGCAGGCACTGTAAGTATCATCACCCTCATTTAACAGATGAAGAGGAGCAGAATGAGTTGCCTGGAATTACATAGCTAGTACTTGTCTGAGGCAATTCTCTTATGAGAGGTAGCTAGGTGGTACAGTGGATAGAGCCCTGGGCTTAACGTCAGAATGAACCTGAGTTCAAATCTAGCCTTACTTATTATCTGTGTAACCCTGGGCAAATCATTTAACTTTTCGGCCTTGGTTTCCTCAACTGTAAAACCACAACTCCCATTCATATGGTGTTTTAATGGTGTTCAAAGCATTTTCTTCACCACAAGCCTGGGTGGTAGGTGATGCCACTATTATCCCCATTTTACAAATTAAGGTAAACAGACTCAGAGGCACACAGTTGGCATGAGTACAATATTATTAGTGGTAGCAGTTATATTTCTACTGCACTGTAGGGTTGATAAAGTATTTTCCTTACAACAACCTGAAGGAAATGATATAAATATTACTAGCTCCGTTTTACAGAGGAAGAAACTGATGATCAGAGGCCATATAACCATACAATTAAAGAATTATTATTTGGGGGGGGCAGGGTGGACCAGAGCTGTGGTTTCACACTCAGAAACTCCCTCCATTGACACAAATCTGATGGCTCCTTACTAACTTAAATTCTTAGGGAACT